CAACTCTCCCAACGAACTTGACAAATCCTTGCAGATACTACGCGGTCAAAAGGGTTTTCGGGTATGGTATAAGTTATCATAGTATACATGTCATAAAGAACTCTGCAGATTCAGTAGCTTGCCTCTCAGCACATGGGAAGCTTAATTATGTTGTGTTCAGGGGGTCAGGCACGGTTTGCCCTCATTTAACACTCAGGCTCTCTTTAAACTGCGAGGTGCATTGTGCAATGAAGGGTTTGAGTCTATATAGGAGCCCCCTAAACCCTAAACAATAAGCCCCAAAACCCGTAAAGCCTTAAATCCTAAAACCCTAAAACCCCAAAACCTAAAACCCTAAACCCTAAAATTCTAAAACCCTACAACACTAAAACCCTAAACCCTAAAACCCTATACCCTAAAACTTTAAAACTTTAAACCCTAAAACCTTAAAACCCTAAATCCTAAAGCCCTAAACATCCCTAAACCCTAAAACCAGCCCTTTGCGCCTTGAAACGCTCATGCATCGGCGCCTTGGGATGTTCGTTCTGATCCAAAGCGAGGCCCCAAAGATGTTTTAAGGGACCAGCGAAACAACCTACTATAGGGGCCTTAATAATTAGAATGGGGTTTGGGGGTTTTAAATATAAGAAGGAACCATCAAAATAGTTACTTAGGCCCGTATTATTATAACTATAGTATAACGGGCCCCCAAGCCCTGTTCTAATTACACCCCAAATTCAGGTACCTTGTTGCCTTTTCTGCAAAACAGACCCTGACCATAAAAATAGGTATCCTAGGAAAGAGGTAGGGTACGACCCTCTTGGTATGATAGGGGTGGAGGGATGCCATTGACACGAATTGCACAACCCGAAATGTGAGCAACTTACTTAGTTGCTGAGCTCAGAAGCCCGCAAAATGTGCCAAGTCTCGGTTTAGTTTAGAATTTAGGGTAGGACTCAGGAATTCTACAGGGCATAACATTCTCCACACGAAGTGTAACGTATTGTCCTTGAGCTACTAAGCTCATAATGTAGGGGCCTTGATAAATGCCTATATTATTTGGGGGGCTCCTTATTTTTATTATAGCATAATGGGCCCCAAAACCCATTCTAATTGTTGAGGCCCCTATATATCAGAGTACCCTTACAGTAACCCTCATAGACCCCTTTCGAAGCAACCCTTATAAACCCCTTTAAAGCGACGCTACTCCCCTAGATTATGCCTATATGGTAGCTTCCGAAGATTAGGGGTACCTTATATTTTGGGGTCCTTATAATAAGGATCCTACTATTTAGGATACTATATTAGGGTCCCCTATTTTCGGAAACTCCCATATTATGTGTGCCGAAAAGTCGTCTGGGCCTGTGGCCTCAATCCGGGAGCCTCAACCTTCTGCTCCTTCACGTGGTTTAGGTGCTTTAAGGGTTTGGGGGTTTAGGGTTTAAGGGTGTAGGGTTAAAGGGGATTAAGGGTTTAGGGTTTAGGGAACTTCAAATGTTTAAGGGCTAAGAGTGTCGCTTCGTTGGAGGAAAATTTGAAAGGCCCATCTCCGTACTGTCAACCGACGGTTCCGCACATGTTTCGGCCACATCCAATCATGGCACCTCGTCGCGCCGCGAGTGCTTCGAAGCCGGCCCTTCGATGGACACTATATCTGAAACTCCTTCACTGCACTCTTCTTTTGCGAGATCCCGGTTTTTGTTTGGTTTTGGCACCAGGATCATCATTATTATAGTGCCCTCTTATAGATCCCTTATTGTAGCTCTTTAAAGACCCCTCTCTATTCCAATGATTAAAGCCCATATATTACCCTAAGGGTCCATGTACCCAAATAGTATATATATATATATATATATATATATATATTATACATATATATATATATATATATATATATATATATATACTTTGAGCCCAATGTACCTATATAGTGAGTATTTAAGGCCAAAGTATATACTATTTGGGCACCTGGACCCTTACTTGGAGGGTCGGGGGACTTAGTAAGTAGGTAGTAAGTAGACTTATAAGTACCCTAAAAAAAGGGGCCCTAATTGGGCTTACGGTACTTATAAGTCCCTAAAATAACCAGTTTCTAAGTCCCCCGACCCTCCAAGCAGTGATTCCTAACGTAGAAAACCTACATTCTACTATACAGGATCTCGATTAGGCCTTTACTCCCTTTTTAAGGGTTCAGGTTCCCCTAAAGCCTAGGGTACCCCAAACCCTAACGCCCAAGGTACCCTAAACCCACATTCTACTATACAGGACCTCGAAATATGAACCGCCCTTCTAGTTTAAGGTATATTCCTTAATTAAGGGGTATTGGGCTCTCTGGGTTCGGAGTTTTGGGGCTTAGGGATACATAAACCCTAAACCCCAAACTACTAAAGCCCTGAAAACCATAAACTCCTTTAAACACCCTCAACCCCTAAACCTTAGGGGTCTACGTTAAGCCCCTCCACAGTCCACGACCGAGGAGGCGGCCAGCGTGGATTGCCCAAGCGAGGAGCCGAGAGCTGTTTTTTACATGGGAGTTTCCGAAAATTAGGGGTACCTTTAAAGGGATCTATTAGGGGTTCTTGAAGGGTTCCTATAAGGGATCTATAGGGTTTCGGGTTTAGGGGAGTTTCCGAAAATTAGGGGTACCATTATTATTTGGGGGTCCTTATAGTAGGGATCCTGCGTACTGTCTTCGGGTCCTTTATTTTCGGAAACTCCCACATCCAATACCCAAGTCGCGAAGAAGGTTTAGGGTTTAGGGTTTGGGGTGCCTTAGGCTTTAGGGTTTAGGGTACCTTGGGCTTTAGGGTTTGGGGTACCCTAGGCTGTAGGGGAACCTGAACCCGTAAAAAGGGAGTAAAGGCCTAATCGAGGTCCTGTACAGTAAAATGTAGGTTTTCTACGTTAGGAATCACTACTTGGATCGTCGGGGGACTTAGTAACTGGCTTTTTTTAGGGACTTATAAGTACCGTAAGCCCAATTAGGGCCCCTTTTTTTAGGGTACTTATAAGTCTACTTACTACCTACTTACTAGGTCCCCCGACCCTCCAAGTAGTATGATTTGAGGTATAGTAGAAGCCCAACAGTTGGAAACCCCAGAGCCTCCATCCTTAAGAGTCATGTATAGGGAACCCAGCAAAATTGGACCTTAATCCGGATACCAACTTTGCGGGGTCTACTTTCGAAGCTGCCCCCACCCTGTAATAGTGACCATAAGGATTATATTAATATTATATTAGGGCCGTATTATGTTCCTATTATACCACTATTACAGGGTGGGGGCAGCTTCTAAGGTCTACTGTAGATGTAAACGCTACGGGTTATAGGCCCCAGGATCCCTGGACTCAAACACCTGCAACGAGGCCAGACCGTAAAGCTTACTTAGAGGACCATGGGACTTAGTAACTGGGGTCCCTTAAAGGGCTCCTTTAAGGGATACTACTGGAGGTTCTGTATGGGTCTTGGTGGTAGTTAGAGGATCATGGGACTTAGTTGCTGGGAAGCTTAGGGTTAGAACCATAAGAATATTGTAGACACTTAGAGGTTCATGGGACTTAGTAACTACCCATAGGCCCCAAAGTGGTTCCTTTTTGGGATTACCTTATAGGATTCTAGATATGAACCCCAAAAAGGGGCCTTAGGGAAGGCCTACGGTCCCTTATTCCCATTATTAAGGCCGTTACATTCTAGAACCCTACTATAGATCCCCTCAAGAGCCCTGTAAGGAACCCTTTAAAGGAACCCTCCTACAATTATTAAGGCCCGCATAGTGCGCCCTTTAGCCCAAGAGAGTTGCACAGCGAGGCGAGGCCGCGGCTAGGCTTCGCTCCGGTCGTGAGCTTCCTAAGATTGAAAGACGGGGCTAGAACACTCTTTTATCGGATAGTAGTTATAAAAGGATCCTCTAGGGCTCCTTTAAAGGAAACTCCAGAAAGTTGGAATATGGTTTCATGGTAGGATACCTATAATTTACCATAGAAGGGTTAGGATAATCATATTCCAACTTTCTGGCTTTTACCTTAAGTGATCTATAGACCCTAAGACTCCGATGTGTCTTAATTACGGAATACACCTTAAATTTTGATAGGATCCCTTATATGAGTTAAGGAGTTTTCCTGAATTAAGGGATATTGGAGTCGCTGAGAATATGTGTGCAATCTTTGATCTCCACACGGGCTGTGCTTGCGATGCACGATAAGTAAAACATGGTAACATCAAAAGCCGCTCAAACCCCTGCACCCTAAACCCTGAACCCCAAGCCCCGAACCCCTAAACCCTAAACCCTAAACCCAACCCGCCTAAACCCACAAACCTCAACCCTGGCCCTGAACTCTAAACTTCTGACCTATCCGAACTTGGGGTGAGATCCACCTTCGTGGTCTCTCCCTCCGCTTTAGGGCTTAGGGTCTTGGTTTTTAAAGGGTTTAGGCTTTTTCCTGCCATCTTATGGCTTTCGGAGTCTGTGTCCTGCCGAAACCCCACATACCAGACCCTACAAACCCCACCCCAAAACCGACTAACCCTACACTCCGACCCTGATACCCTCAGCGCTAAACTCTAAACTGCAGATGTTAGGGCCCGTTGGCCCCGATTTTGCTGCCTGGAAGGGGTCCAAGAATGCCAGACAGCCATAAGCCGCTAATGTCTACGCCCTTGCGACTTTAGTGACAAAGCGTTAACCCTGCACCCGAAACCCTGGACCCAAACCCATGAATCAAAAATCCACACCCTTATATAAACCCGACTTCCATTAAAGCTAGACTTGCTGGTTCGTATATTGGCGAAAAACTCCTAGACAGGGCTTAGGCCGGCGGGGGGTGATAAACTTTATCTGATAAATGTTAGAACTTAAAACAAAGGCTTTCTCAGGGTTAGGATTTAGGGATTTGTCTGTGTGTGTGCGAATGTATATGTATGTATTGCTTTATGTGGCAGACGACACTGAACATCTTCAGCTCAACAAGACTGCAGGGGTCTTCACAGATTGCAAAGCAACCCGCAGCCCCCAAAAGCCTAAACCCTAGGCTTTGGGGTTGCAGACATGGGACAGCTCCGCAATGCGCTTGCTAGCGTCGTACTTCAAGATCTGCAGCCGCGATGGGTTGAGTTGCGGCTTAGGGCTTATAGGGCTTGTGGGTTGGAAAAGTGTGGGGCTTGGGCCCTGAACCCTAAACTTTCCCAAACCACACAGAAGCTGAGCAAAAGCAAGCACACCGACACACAAAGAACACCTGCACCCCAGAGGGTCCATATACACTGCCATTATGGAATTAGCTCCCCAAGACCATAATGGGGATGGTCTTCTCGGGCCTAACTCCATAATAGTCGTGTATATGGACCCTCTGGGCACCAACACCCTCACTCAAGCTTGAAACGCGGCGTCTCTAAGCCCGATGTCCGAACCGCTTTTCTTCAGGCCGCCACCCTAAAGCCAAAACCCTAAACTCTAAACCCCTAAACCCTATACCCCTAAGCCTGAAACCCTAAACCCCTAAGCCCTAAAGTTCCTAAAGCCTACACCCTGCTCCATAAGCAAAAGCTCCGATGATGAGGGACACGGGTCTAGGGGACTTGGCTTGGGTTTAGGTGTTCAGGGTTTTTTTTTGTTCTCCAGAGGCAGCAGTCCACACTCTGAAAAGGCTTAGACAGCCAGGTGTTCAGGGTTTAGGGTTTAGGGTTTAGGGGTTTAGGGGTTTAGGGTTTATGGGTTTAGGGGTGTAGAGTTTAGGGGTTTAGGGGGGTTTGGGATTTGGGATTCCGGAGGATTGCAAGACAACAAAACCCTGATTGAGGGTTTAGGTTTTGGGGCGTATGAGTAGATAGAGACTTAGGTTTAAGCTTTCAGGTTGAGGTTTCGGGTTTTGGGGGCTTAGGATTAGATGGGGTTCAGGTTTTACGGTTGTTGGTGCCGGTTCCGATACAGGTGGCTTGATGTCCCTCCTCCCCGGCACAATCCCGACTAAAGCCTCAACCCCAGAAAGCTAAAATGGCAAACCTCAGCTCTAAACTCTACTTAGGGGATCATGGGATTTAGTAAGTAAAGTTATAAGTACCTTAGTTGGGATTATAAGTACTTAATTTAAAAGTTTACTTATACTTACTTTAATTACAGCCATAGTGACTAAGTCCCAAGATCCTCTAAGTAGACCGCAAACCTGACTTTCAAAACCAATTGCGCGCTAATCCCCTGATTTGGGGCCCTATACTACTACGGTTGATGATTTAAATCCTGCATGACCCATAATAAGGAATATACCATAATTCCCATAGTTCATTCAAGCAACCCCAAACAAACACCGGTAAAGGAGCAGCCTCCGTCCAGATACCAGGTCCGAAGAACCGGTCGCAGGCTGTGATGGTCCTTGGGCCGTTCCGTGTGTAGGCTTGTTGGGGTTTAACGGGGTTTAGGGGTTTAGAGTTTATGGTTTAGGGCCTAGGGTTCAGGGTTTCAGCGTTTCTTTCCAGTTCTGTCTGGACCCAGGGCGCAGAGTTAAATAACTTTCCACGTCACCCCTAAACTGTATAACCCTAACCCTAAAGCTCTATTCTCTAAACCCCTGAACCCTCAACTGCACAACCCTAAACCCTACACAGTAAACCTTTCCCACATGAAGTGCTCGAAGTTTTCGCACAGCCCAAAAATCGCTGCAAACATTGCTTAGAGGATCATGGGACTAAGTTACTATGGCTAGAAGTAATATGTTATTATACTTATAACTACTTACAACCCCAGTTCCGGTATGGGATTTCGGATGTCGACGCTCTGTAAAATACTACAACAACTTCCAAGACCTTTTATTCGAACTTGTGAGTTACATAGCAGCGTCAGCGCCCCGAAATCCTCGCAGATGCCAATGCGCTAAACCCAAACAGTCCCTACACCCTGCACCCCTGCGGCGGTCGAATCATCAAAAAACTCTACGGGTCCATGTGCCCAAATTGTATATACTTTGGGCCCAATGTACCTTCTGTATAAAGGGAGTGCTTTAAGGCCCCAGCATATACTATTTGGGCACATGGGCCCTTAGGGAAACGTGAGCCAGTTCGTTTTAACACACCAAAACCTTCCACCAAACCTCCTCAAACCGTCTAGTTCCGGCCATGTGTATACCCCTACTTAAAAAATCATGGGACTTAGTAACTAGGGTTTAGGGTGACTATACAAGTACGTACGAGCCTAATTAAGCTAAGGTACTGATAACCCTATGTACTAAGTCCCATGATCCTCCAAGTATTTAGGGGTACTAACGTGATGATAGAAATCCTACATGACCCATCATAAGGAATATACCATGATTTCCATAGCTTAGGGTCCTTAGGGTAATGCAGGATTTAAATCATCAACAGTAAGGGTTGCAGGGAGAGCCTCGGCAGGTAACTGCACCTGCAGGGATACGATCTCTCTAAGTTGTGCCAAGCGTCATCGGGTCGCTCCAGATGGTGAAGGGCAAATCCTGGCAACGTGGTTTGGGGGGGTAGGGTTTGGGGTTAAGGCTTCCTAGCAGCACGGTCGGCCCGGAACGAATGCCATTTCGTGGTCAAGTGCCGCAGGCAACATGCACCGTTTAGGGTTTATAGGAGGCATGCATCAAATACATGTTTGCCTGACCTGCTCCGTGTGGGATGGGATCGGGGGTGTGGTGTGTCCCTTACCCTTCGCCGCTAATTCACATTCCCCCTTAATTTAATGAAGAAACGATAACCTTTACTGTAGATCACTTTCACTATTCTGGTAGCCTATATTGAATGCCTACCAGCTCTCACTCACATAACACCTTAACCCCGAACGCCAACATCCTGCCAGTGCGCAACATTTTTTAATTTAAGTGCAATTTCAAGAAGTAAGGAACGGGGCATGTCTCCGCCTTGGCCACCGAGGAACCCGTCACCCTAAACCCCGAGCCGCTTCGGTGTAAGGTTTGTCGTCTCGGAGGTTCTTTAAACTTAGCGTGTGCAGAGTGCGACACATCGGAAAGGGAGTCCCGGTACCTTCTTAAGCCCTAAACCCTAAACCCCTAAACCCTAAAGCCCTAAACCCCAAACCCTAAATCCCTAAACCCCTCAACCCCACCTAAACCCTAAACCCCTGAACCCTCTTCTATACTGAACTTAGAACCCTAGCAAAAATTATAATTGTAGCTGTTTCTTAGGGATTAAAATAGCAAAAAAATAATGAATAATTTCTAAGTACCCCTAAATCTTCAGCTCACCCCCCCCCCCCCCCCCCCCCCCCGCCCCTTCGGCTGGCCTTAGACTCGAAGAGCATCCGGAAAGCAAACTCACCATTTGGAGCCTTGGACTCGATGATCTTCAGCATCTTGGGATACCTACTCTAAGGTCTTAGGGTTTTAGGGGTTTAAAAGGGCTTTAGGGGTTTAGGGGTTTAGAAGGGTTTAGGGGTTCAGGGGTTTTAGGGGTTTTAGGTTTAGGGGTTTTAAAGGTTTTAGCGGTTTTAGGGGCTTAGGGGTTTAGGGGGTGATCTTCAGCATCTTGGGATACCTGCTCTAGGGCTCCTTTAAAGGCTTCCTTTAAGGCCGCCTTCAAGGGTTCCTTTAAGGGCTCCTTTAAGGGCTCCTTCAGGGGCCCTTCTAAGGGCTCCTTTAAGGGTCCCTTTAAGCGTTCCCTTCAAGGGTTCCTATAAGGGTTTCCTTAAGGATTCTTTGTAAGGGGTTTAGGGTTTGGGCTTTAAAGGAATGAACTTCAGCATCTTGGGATACCTGGCATTTAGGGCTTTGTAAGAGGGGCTCTTCAAAACTTTTGGGGCTTGGGGTTTAGGGGATGGGCTACTATACCATTTTTTTTTAGTGCCTGGCTGAAATAATGGCTGCAGAGTGTGCTCCAAAAGGGGGTTCGCTTGTAGTTATAAGGCTCCGCAAGGGGTTGTCTGTTTGCAAGGTTGGGATACCTGGCAGGGCTGGGACTCGTGTTCATAATTCGAAACTTGTGCTCCCACGATGTCCTGTCCTGCTTCGATTCGAGGATACGAAGTTCTGCTGGGAGTGGCAGATAGGAAAAACAGTCCACGTAAGGTAACATGGTCGACCGACGTGTACTTTCACCGTTGCTCGTTTGGAAACCTTAACAATCATGGGGGTGGGGGCTTCATGATTAGAAAGAGGTTTTGGTGTACATTATAGCACAGCTGCAGTCAGGAACACCAAGGAGTACTGCTGCTGCTTGTAATGTAAAAACCTCCAGCGAGGAAAGGCGACATATCAATCTCTAAATCTCTGGAAAAGCCTGGGAAAGGAAAACAATTGAGGTTTTGAGAGCCGGCACCGTAAGCATCGCATAGCTATTAAATTCAGCTCTCACCTCAAGCCCGCAACACCATGGTCTGCACCTTAACTTTAAATACCGAAGTCCTGCTCGCCCGAAACGAGCTTGTTCTAGACACAAATCAGTCAAGACTTTGAAGAAGGTTGCGGCATATTCCACTGCAGCAATGCAGGGAACCTCAGAAATAATCACAAACCCTAAGCCCTAAACCCCAAACCCTTAACCCTAAACCCTGAAAGAGCCCTTACAGTAATCCTAAGGGCCCAAGTATCTAATCATCACGTACTCTCCCATATAGTAGTCTACATAACTACGTACTATCCGAAACCTAAGTACCTTATTATTGGGCCCTTTGGGCTCTTAGGGTATCTTACTACCCTTATAAGCCCCAGAATTGGGAGGTTAAACTTTCCGATTCCTACTAAACTACAAGAACCCCAAAAAGTTAAAAGGTTGGGTATTGGGGATCTATGATAAAGGGACCCAAAACCCCCAAAAACTTAAACCCAGGGATCCTTAAAGGAACCCTTAAAGGATCCCTTAAACAAGGAATTCCTTATATCATCCCCAAAACGTTACCCTTAAAGCAGCCCTAAAAGGGAGCTTTCGGAGGCCTGCCTTCCACCGCTGCCCACAAGGCCGAGGGCCTTCAGAGAAGAGTCTAAGTGCGCATCGTCACCTGGCCAGGGGTTGAGGGTTTAGGGTTTAGGTTTAGGGTTTGGGGTTTGGGGTTTCGGGTTTGGGGTTTAGGGTTTGGGATTTAGAGTTTGGGCTTTAGGGTTCAGGGGGTAGGGGGCACTTTGAAGGGTCTTGCATTAAGGCTTGGGGATTCAGGCTTTTGCATGTCGTGGCGGTCATGGCGCTGTGGACAAGCTTTTTGTCGACATGCTGCTGGATACCCTTGAAGCCCAGATACCAGTGGGTCAGATAAGCTTGCACTAAACGGACGGCAACCTACTGTGTGGCCAGTGATATGACAGGATCTCAGCTCGGCCTTAAACCTCTTTCTCTCTCTTCTTCAACAAAAGGGCCCCAAAAAGTTCAAATTTCCTAATACAGAGCTTATATATATATATATATAAAAGGCCAAGAAGTTTCAAGTTCCCCTGTTCACTATCTAAGCGAGACGGCTTGGCCGTAGCGGTGTCGGGTCACGTCGGACTTGACCTTGGCGGTGAAGGGCTCTCACTTAGAGTACCTGTAGCCCCAAACCCTACAAAGTAGTAGGTTATGACCCCTTAATTGAAGGGTCTGACCCTGAAAAACGGTAGGTTTTTGGATGTTTTTGGATCCACAGGTAAGCCATACACTCAACAAGCCTTACCCTGACGAGCGCAACTCGCCAGCTCAAAGCCCAACAGCAACCTCAACCAAGCCCAACCCAAATTCGAGCTAGCTCTTTGCGAAACGAATTATTCATGCCCAGAAAGCGGGTTCGTCGTACGAATACAGACATGAAGTCGAAAATGAGTGATGAGATTCCTGATACGCAAAATTTAACTACAACCAAAAAACAAAAGCACAACAGCACTGATGATGAGGAATATTTATAATATTAAGAAAACTCCTACATTTACATATTAGCGAGTACTACATCGCCCAGTGTCACCGAATCAAAACAACAAGCAATAAGACATGAACCTTAAACCTATATCCTTTTCATATCGAATCAAAGGATCTGAGCCCAAAAAGGCTGCAGATATGGGTGTAGGGTTAGAACAATGCTTCACAACACGTGATCCCGAAGAGAGAGGTCCCCCAGTGATCCCGGGCACAAGGGCGCAAGGGCACAAGGGCACAAGGGCACGGCAAGGGCACGGCAAGGGCACCACAAGGGCACCACAAGGGCACAAGGGCACAAGGGCACAAGGGCACAAGGGCACAAGGGCACAAGGGCACAAGGGCACAAGGGCACAAGGGCACAAGGGCACAAGGGCACAGGGGCACAGGGGCACAAGGGCACAAGGGCACAAGGGCACAAGGGCACAAGGGCACAAGGGCATGAGGGCATACGGGCACAAGGGCACAAGAGCGCGAATGCACATAGACATATATACAAATATACAAGTATACATATACACATGTATACATTTCTACATATGTACACATATACATATAACACGTATAAAACATACATATGTATGTACATATACAAAAGTACAGATGTACATATATACATCTATACATATATACACATATACGTATATAAACATGCACATAATTACTTATGTACATATACACATTTTGATATATATATATATATACACATACATACATGCATGCGTGCATACATACATACACATATACATATGTACACGTACACATATATACACAAAACACGTGTGCACATATACATATATACATTTATACATATATACATATATACACATCTAAATATATGCATCTACACAAGAATACATAATTACCCATACACATATACACATATACATGTACACATGTATACATATAAACATGAATAGAGTTGTGATTTTAAAATCAGGGGCGCCCCATCAGTCCGAGGCCCCATCCTCGGAGTTCAAGGGTGATAAGACTTCTGGTTTTAAAGACAGGACCGCCCTATCAGTCCGAGGCTCCGTCCTCAGAGTTCAATGGTGATAAGAGTTCTGATTCTGAAATCAGGGGCTCCACATTAGTCCAAGGCTCCATCCTCGGAGTTCAAGGGTGGTCAGAGTTCTGTTTTTTCAAAATCAAGGGCACCCCGTCAGTCCAAGGCTCCATCCTCGGAGTTCAAGGGGTGGTGAGAGTTTTGATTTTAAAATCAGGGGCGCCCCATCAGTCCGAGGCTCCATCCTCGGAGTTCAAGGGTGGTAAGAGTTCTCATTTTAAAATCAGGGGCGCCCCATCAGTCCAAGGCTCCATCCTCGGAGTTCAAGGGCGGTAAGAGTTCTGATTTTAAAATCAGGGCCGCCCCATCAGTCCCAGGCTCCATCCTCGGAGTTCAATGGTGATTAGAGTTCTGATTTTCAATCCAGGGGGTCCCATCAGTCCCAGGCTCCATCCTCGGAGTTCAAGGGTGATAAGAGTTCTCATTTTCAATCCAGGGGGTCCCATCAGTCCCAGGCTCCTTCCTCGGAGGTCAATGGTGATAAGAGTTCTGATTTTAAAATCAGGGGTGTTCAAGGGTGATAAGACTTCTGGTTTTAAAGACAGGACCGCCCTATCAGTCCGAGGCTCCATCCTCGGAGTTCAAGGGTGGTAAGAGTTCTGATTTTAAACTCAGGGGCGCCCCATCAGTTCGAGGCTCCATCCTCGGAGTTCAAGGGTGGTAAGAGTTCTCATTTTTCATCCAGGGGCGCCCCATCAGTCCCAGGCTCCATCCTCGGAGTTCAATGGTGATAAGAGTTCTGATATTGAAATCAGGGGCGCCCCATCAGTCCGAGGCTCCATCCTCGGAGTTCAAGGGTGATAAGACTTCTGGTTTTAAAGTCAGGACCGCCCCATCAGTCCGAGGCTCCATCCCCGGAGTTCAAGGGTGGTGAGAGTTCTGATTTTAAAATCAGGGGCACCCCATCAGTCCAAGGCTCCATCCCCGGAGTTCAAAGGCGATAAGACTTCTGATATTGAAATCAGGGACGCCCCATCATGCCAGGGCTTCATCCTCGGAGTTCAAGGGTGATTAGAGTTTTTATTTTCAAGCCAGGGGCGCTCCATCAGTCCCAGGCTCCATCCTCGGAGTTCAAGGGTGATAAGAGTTCTCATTTTCAACCCAGGGGGTCCCATCAGTCCCAGGCTCCATCCTCGGAGGTCAATGGTGATAAGAGTTCTGATTTTAAAATCAGGGGTGTTCAAGGGTGATAAGACTTCTGGTTCTAAAGGCAGGACCGCCCTATCAGTCCGAGGCTCCATCCTCGGAGTTCAAGGGTGGTAAGAGTTCTGTTTTTTCAAAATCAAGGGCGCCCCGTCAGTCCAAGGCTCCATCCTCGGAGTTCAAGGGGTGGTGAGAGTTTTGATTTTAAAATCAGGGGCGCCGTATCAGTCCAAGGCTCCATCCTCGGAGTTCAAGGGTGGTAAGAGTTCTGATTTTAAAATCAGGGGCGCCCCATCAGTCCAAGGCTCCACAAGCTGCGCAGTTGGCGCAAGCGGCGCAGCCGGCGTCGGCGCACCGGCGCATCCATGGTGGGTCGGCGCACCGGCGCACCGGTACATCGGCGCATCCGTGTTCCAGCGGCGCAACGGCGCACTGGCTGGCGCATCGGCGCAACCGAGTTGCATGCGGTGCACCGACGCACCGCGCAACTGTGAGGTGCTGCACCCATTGCCCCCACGCTCCATATATACATATATATATATATATATATATACATGTACACATATACATGTACATACATGTACACATGTAAACATATAAATATATAAACATACATACAAACATACTTATATACACATACATATAAAGGTAAATATATGCATGTACACATATAAACATAAATACACATGCTCTAAGCATCCTGGCATCATCAGCAAAAGAACAGGAACGAAAGCGAGGCGTTCGAAACTTCATACCAGCTTGACAAGCCCGATGCCAGTGCACAAGGACACCAGGGCACAAGGGCACAAGGACACAGGGCACAAGGGCACAAGGGCACAAGGGCACAAGGGCACAAGGGCACAAGGGCACAGGGCACAAGGGCACAAGGGCACAAGGGCACAAGGGCACAAGGGCACAAGGGCGCAAGGGCACAAGGGCACAAGGGCACAAGGGCCCGGGAACAGGAGAGGACCGAAGCCATCCCGAAGGCCTGTGCCTTGGAGCAGCCCTACCACGGAACCCTTAACCTTAAACTCTAAGCCCAAAACCCTAAGGCCTAAACCCTAAACCCTCAAAAGAAGCAAGAAAGGAACCATTGAAGACTCCTCTAGAGGAGCCCAGCCGTGGGATACCCTAAACCCAAAACCCCAAATGTGTGGAGGGTTTCGGGTTTAGGGTTCCCGGTTTAGGGTTTAGGGTCTTGGGGGCGTGGGTGATATTATTGAGTTTAGAAGGGCTCTCTTTTTGTGCAGGGCTTTACAGGTCCTGCATGACATTGAGTGGTACTCTGTGACAACGGATCCCACCATTTCCGGTTCATACCGAGATCTCTCTTTTCCGAAACCCCCAATTGAAATGAGGATCCGTGCTTCCAAGCCTTGACCCGTAACCCGTATCCCAAATCCAGACCCCGAAACCCATGGATGCTAAACTCTACCCTCCAGGCCCTAAGCCCCAGACTCTGGAACCTATAAGCCCTACCTTAACCCTGAATAACATACGTGTTTAGGGTCCTTATTATGGTTTCCTTTATATACGTCCTTAAAAAGGTAGGTTATCCAGGGTTGGCCCTAGGCCCAAATCCCCACCAGGCCTTGCGCATGGTCGTCGTTGCTTTCGACTCGAAAAGTCCAATGGCCTTACCCACAGATGCCATCAGTGATCTTAGCAGCTACTCGCACTATTCGATGGTTGGGAGGCTTTGGGCTAGTAGAACCTTGAGCTTGAGAGTTTAGTACTGATGTATTCTACGTCTTACCCGGCCTCTAGATGTTTGTACTATCATTGCCATCATCATCATCGTCATCATCATCATTCCCTAACTGTCCATGTACCCGAATAATAGATACTTTGGCCATGAAGTAGCCCCTATACCAGAGCTTTGGGGCCAACGTATATTTATATACTCTTTGGGTACGTGGACTCTTTGAGATGGTCACTTGTCACACTATGAAAGCCAGGCTACATCCGGAAGACTAGTTCTAGCAAGAAGGCGAAAGTTCCACCCCGCACACTGAGCCCCGAATCCTTCTAGGCCCGACTTCGCAGACCCCTAACGGAGCTGTTTGGGGGTTTCCGACAATTAGGGGTACCTTATTCTGGGGTCCCTGTAATAAGGATCCTACTATTTAGGGTACTATGTTATGGTCCCCTAATTTCGGAAACTCCCGTATTGATCGAGGGTCTGGAGCCCGAGGTTCCACCTTTTCGGGCAATCGCTGGAAAGCGTCGCCGGTGAACGCACAGAATTCAAATTTTCGAATAATTAGGGGGTTTAGGGTTTAGGGGTTTAGGGCTTAGGGGCTGGAGACCCTACGCGTCGGCTGGGGCAGGGTATGGGGACTAGCCACCTAGCCTACACTGAACTTTTATGTACCCCTAGCCTCAAACAAACTTTCGGCTGTTTCTTAGGAGTTGTAGGAACCAAAGAATTCTAAGTACACCTGCAATAGCCGCCTGACGAAAGTCCAGCCTTGTTCACGGCTCAGATCTTAGCCCGAGCGTCCAAGTCTGGAGAAAATGCTTCGAGGACGATATATGTCCAGGATACGGGAAGGGCCCTTCTCCAAGAGTGACCATGAGTTGCTTCTCCTTCTTGGTGCGGCATTAAGAAATCGTCCAGAACCACGACGTCAAGCACGGGTGCAAGGACCACAACATGAGACGGCTCGACAGCGCAGAACCGAAACAAGTAGTAGGAAAATTGGTTGACTTCCACGCCAACTTCCTTGGCAGCACGGTTTACAAGATAAGACCTCAACAAAGCGGTCCCAGCGTCAACGTACTCACCAAGGTCATCAGCATACACGCGCTCCCAAGCAGGCATCTTAGCCTGGATCAGGTCGCGAAATCCGTCGTCGGCGGAATGCACGACGCCCGACCCCAGGCGGGGAAGGCCGCTCGCAAACAAGGCTGATGTCTTGCCCATCGCGCACAGCAACGAGTAGACAGAGAGTAGAAAGCAGAGAGTGTGCGGGAAGTCGGATGCAGGAATGTACGCTATTTAGGGTTTAAGGCTTTATAGGGGTTTAATTTGAATTCTGAGCGGGGTTCAAAGTCCCTTGATATGGGTTATAAGTATACTGAACCTACTTATAACCCTACAGTACTACGCCCTAATAGGTACACGGACCCGCAAAAGTGAAGCAGATTGTAAGACCCGAGAAAACTCTAAAATATCCGTACATTTTGCAACAAAGTCCTGAAACAGGATCATCCAAAGAGCTCCGTGACATACTGATAGCCGACTATACCCCAACAACCCTGTTCCAATTATTAAGGCACTTCTTTGGTAGCCCATATTTTCATTGGAGAAGCCTTTAAAGGGATCTGTACAGGAACCCTATTGTTGTAAGACTTAAGGACTCTGCTAGGGCTTAAGCCGTTTAGGGTTTAGGGGTTCAGGGTTTAGGGTTTAAGGGCTTCTACCCTACAACCTAACCCTAAACACCCTAAACACTATAAACCGTAACCCTAAATCCTAAACCCCTAAACCCTAAAGATCCTAAACCCTAAACCCTAAACCCCTAAAACCCTAAACTAAGTCCCTAAATCCCTAAATCCCCCAAAGCATAAAAATGCTGAACCTGGACATGGAAACAATTCAAGCGCCCGACGTCGGAGTCGGTCTCAACCTTCCGAGGTATTCGAGTCACTACCCTAGAGGGTCCATGAAAAAAACAGCTATTACGTATGGACTTAAGCCCTCGAAATGCTAAGCATAACCTGTTCGGTGTATATGGACCCTTTGGGTACCTTTAGGGTCTATAGTGAAGGGATTCACATGGGGTTTGGGTGTATGCAGGGTTTTGAGGTCAGGGTTTAGTGTTTAGAGTTTCGAGTCTAGGGCTTCGGGTCTTGGGCTCAAAGCTTAGGCAGGGCTTTTTGGTTTACGTTTTACGGTTTTGAACTTGCTTCGGGTTCAAGGTCTACGGCCCTAAACCCTAAACCCTAACGGGTTCTGTAAGGATTCCGTGCGAGGGCTCTGTTCGGTATTTTTTAATGATCGGTTAAGCTCAGGCTCCAAGGCCACGCGGCCACACATCTAGCCCTTTTGCTTCTGCTTCTTGCTCCTTCCCCAACCACCGAGAGCGGGGGCGGGACAAAGAGAGAGAGAGAGAGAGAGAGAGAGAGCGAGAGAGAGCGAGGGAGAGGGGGCGAGAGAGAGAGAGAGAGGCAGAGAGCGACAGAGAGAGACAGAGAGAGAGTGAAGGAAAGACACCGAACAGCTCATGGGTTTCAGCAATCGACCAGTCACCACGAACAACGACGCCCGAGCACTGCGCACCTTCAGAGAACCACCACATGCTTGAGCCTCTAGGCCCGAAGCTCACGGTATTTCAGGCTCTTGGGCGATGTTGAGCCTTAGGGTTACCCCAAGGGTCCAAGTACCCAATAATCAAATACTCTCCAAAATCCTAACCTACATGACCAACATGCTAAAGCCAAGTACCGTATTATGGAGCCTTGGGGCTTTAAAGGAACCCTTATGTTACCCTTATAGTAACCCTTCAAAGGAACCCTTATAGTACCCTTATAATAACCCTTTAAAGGAACCCTTAGGGATTTTGGGTTCTGAAGCTCACACTTAGGGTCTCATGTGCAAGGCACCGGAGTCCCAAATTCCCCCTTCAACCCTGAACCACACACCCCAAACCATACATCCCAACGCCACAGCTTGAACGCATAGGCAAGCCTACAACACCTCATATACTTATGTGTACATGAAATGTGTCTATATGTAGAGAAACTGTCTTGCTATTTTATTTGTTTAGCTTTTTCTGTTTATTGGTTATGTAGTTATACATTATGCAAACCATATCCAGAAAGCCGCGAAAGAACCGACAGCCCCCAAGCTCCAAAACTGCCCAACAGCAGAAGAAGATAATGCGCCTCCACCGGCTGGAGCTCTGCATATTGCAGAGCCTTTGCCAAATAGTCGAAATAGTAGGTCACATGTATTACAAACATTCGAAATTCCACCTCGCAAACGTCAGAGCTGCTATTGAGCTAAGTTGAGCATTGCATGCAAACTGCCACCATAGAAACCTCAATGAAAAAGGGCACTAAAGATAGGGATCGGGTGGGCCTAAGCTTGCCTGGAACCGTTGAGCCCATGAAAGTCCGGGCCGATGCGTCCTTTTCCGCCCAAGAAACCCAGCAACATCCCGGCCTACGAACTCTTTGTGAGTCTTAACTTTGGAGATTGTATCTAGATCTACGCCGTAGGATTGCATAGACTTAGTGACATCTGCTTTCATGTTGCCGGTAAGTCGCGACATTGGCATTCCCGGAATCAAGAATCCCCCCACAAAACCATGTTTGGTCACAAAACCAGTTATTAGTTCAACCCGGACAAAACAGGCTTCTGAGTAGAGAATCTGAAGAATGTACATGCAAGAGTGGGAAAACGTGTCCCTACAGGCGAGAGCAGAGAGCCCCGTTCAATCCACGACTTCCGGTGCATCAGATATCTTAGACACGGACCCCCATTGCGCGATTCCGGTTCATCAGAAATCTGAACCTTGAAACACGGACCCCCATTGGGCAGGCTCCAAGCACACCATGCCCCTGATCATAGCTGTTGATTGCCCACAGACTCAAAAATCAAGATCCCGGGCTTGTACCTCTGCAGCGAGGCGCCAAGCAAACCAGGCCCCTGACCATAGCTGTGGATTGCCCGTGCACTCAAACCTCAAGATCCCAAGCTTCTACATCCGCCACAACCATGCCCAAATGTCAAGCTCCAGCAGCTGGTAGAAGCAGATGATTGCCACCATGGTTTCTGTTCTGGTCCACTCTAGCTCCAGCACCAACACTGGCCACCACAGTGAATTCTCAACCACGGAGGAAGGGCAGGACTCTCGTCCGGCATCTCCTCCCAATCGATGTCCTCGCGGGTGTAAACCCGGTTGTCGTAGCGGCCGCTGGAGGGTCGTAGTGCAGGAGGTGCAGGCGGCACCCAAGGCAGCAGATCGGCTACAGGTAATTCAGAGACTACAGGCACTGCATCTAATTAGATGTAGCCCCTGAACCCTACTGAACCCCTACACCATCTCAACCCCAAGCTCTTAGATTCCGAACACCAAGACCCCGTAGTTGTCCCAACGTCTTCCAAAATCCCAAAGTTAATGGAAATACTGTAAAATCATCTCAGGCATCCTAGTATAATCTACAGCATATTCCTTATATACCTAGTAAATCATAGTGGAGACTCTGCGATAATCTAAGGCATACTCCTTCGTCAAGTAATGTTGGAAGATATGGGTCCATGTTGCCGATGCGCCTGGCTGCTGCGCTCCGCTTAACCCTATTGACTGGTCCTTGAGAGGATTTTGGGTTTGAGGTTTAGGGTTTGGGGTTTAGGGTTTATGGTTTAGAGGGTTTAGGGTTTGGGGCTTAGGGTGTGATTTTGGGTTTTGGGTTCAGGGTTTGGGGGCTATATAGCATTCTCGCACAGGGTTATGTAAGAGGTACCATATTATAAGGGCTGCTATGAGGACTCCAATATAGAGGCCTGCAGAACTAGGACAGTTTTACGTTTGTGCAGGGGGCTGTGCTATATGTAGTTATAGAATATACAAGGGACTACGAAATGAAAGCGATTCGATCAGCAGTGATTCCAATCTCCATAATACCCTGCCCCAATGTACCAAGACAGTGCAAAGTACGCTTACTACCCCAATTAGCCACAGAATTGGAAGGTTAAACTTTCCGATTTCTACTACACTACCAGAACCCAAAAAGTTTAAAGTTTGGGTATTGGGGGGGGGGTCAAAGTAGGGCTTCTGCACAGGGAATTACAATCCGTTCTGCTCAAGTTAAACCAAAAACAAACACACCCCAAAATCCTAGATCCTTAAACGAAGAGCCTCAAACCCAAAAAGCCCTAAGTCCCTAGTCTAAGACACAACGAGTCCCTGAACCCGAAACCCTTACCGATACTTTCCAGGGCCCAAAAGATAGAACTGCCCTCACCATGCAACAACGTAGCCTAGCAATATGTCGGTTCAGATAGGACTCTTTTCCTGAAGGTTCCTGTAAACACTAAACCCCGTTCCTGGATCCTAAACTCCAAACCCTAAAGCCTCAACCCTAAACCCTAAAACCCGCAACCCTTAACCCCAAAGCTTGCAGCTTCTGCCCCATGCACTAAACCGAAATCTGCACATTGAGGCCCCGGCTGCGCCCAGCAGAAGCACTGGGACTGCATAGATGAACGTCAGGCCACCGATGCCTCCACCTGGGCGACAGCGCGAAGAGTTCGTGGTTTTGGCCCTGAACCCTAAACCCTAAATCCTAAACCCTAAACTGCCCTAAACCTTAAGCCATAAACCCTGTACCCTCAACCCTAAACCCTAAATCCTAAACCCTAAACCTTAAACCCTACACCCTGAACCTTAAACCCTAAATCCCAAATCCTAAACCCTAAACCCTAAGAGTATGGGGATTTCGGGGTCAGAATCAGAAGGGCTGAGGCTTCAGGGTCAGGCGTTCTAAGCTCAAAGCCTTCAGGGGTTACCTAGACCCCAAAAGTGTGTAGCATAATGGCCTTTTATAGGTGTTGGGCCATTATTTTACCTACTTTTGGGGGGGGTTAGGTACAGGGTTGAGGGTTTGGGGCTTGGTAGCTGGGCCTTATACTATAGTTTCGGGGTCTTGTGAGGGTTTTGCTGAACATAGATAGAGACTCTGAAACACGACTATATACCCTCAGGCCGTATGAACCCGTTCAGTAAACCCTAAACTGGCAGAATCCGCAGGAGAACTAGCGAGGGTGGACAGAGCAAACTCCAACGATCAAAGCTAGAGGGCCCTCATCAAAACATGCTAGTTGCTAGCTTAAATCGGCATTTGGACCCTCAGCCCTAAACCCCCAAAAGACTGACAACAAACCCCCAACCCGTACCATTACAACCCCTAGGCCGCAAGCCCGTACGCAGACGTAGATGCCCAGACCTTCCAACATAACTCAGGAATGGAACCTACCATAAATCATAATGGGGATCCTGTCATAGTTTGGGGTATATTCCGTAAACACTAGAAGGATCCCCGCAATTTGATGTAAGGTCTATTCCTTAAGTCACGGGATTTGGAAGGTCGGCCGCACCTCCTCCCTTCGTCCCGAAGACGAAATAGTCGCCAAAGGAGACAACCACCAGGACAAAGCCTGCAAATATTCGGCTGCTTTCAGGGCCCAATTAAGGGATCCTGAAGAGGGGATCTAGTAGAAGTTCTTGAAAAGGCTTCGGGCTTCGGAATTTGTGGCTTCGGGGGTTTGGGGGTTGAGTGTTTAAGGTTTGACGTTGCAAGCTTAAGGCCCAAATATTTGGGACACCTGGCATGTAGATATCGCGTGGGAAATATCCCCAACCCCAAATCGACCAAGCTGTTTTAAGGCCTTATGATATAAGGAAACCATGATAAGGAACCCTAAACAGGTGCTACCGTGCGCTACGTAGGGCTATACGCATCAACAAGAGTTGCCTGATTTATCGACGCTTTGCTCCCTGTCTGTACGGCTGTCTATCTGCAGAGGCCAAGACATGCGTTTCTGTGATCTCGCTCTTGAACGGCCCTGTGCTTCCGGTAGGGCCTCGAACCACATCGCTTTTGGGAGATGTGGCTTGGAAGGCTTGGTGAGCACACCCCATAATCCCTCAAGTCAAGACCTCTAGCTGCAAAGCGTTTAGGGTTTAGGGCTACCAGCCAGCTTTAAAGCCCCTACAATCCAAACCTACATCACTACCATCCCAAACCGAGTACCTCATTATTGGGTCCTTTGGACTCTTAGGGCTATGATCAGCTTTACAGCTCCCATGCACGCTAGCTTTTCCCAGCCACAACCTGCTCTCCGGCTCCCGCACTGCCAAGGCCCTGTAGGGTTGTTGGGTTTCCGGGGTTTACGGATTTCCTTCACCCCAAACAGCCTGCCTTTTTAAGGACTTACATACGGAAATTGTAACAAGGAGCCTCAAACCGTAGGTTTTTCAGGGCGAAGGTAGGGTTCAGGGGCTTGGGTTTTGTTGCGGTTTAGCATCTACAAACCGCCCTACACCGAAGACTTCGGAACCATAGTTATCATATCTTGTAATAGACATTGCGCAGTAGAAGCCCAGCTACATCGGGATTCCAAATCCGCTTGGTTCAGACATATCCAGGGATAGCCTGTGTCTATCTATCTCTATCTCTCTCTCTCTCTCTCTCTCTCTCTCTCTATATATATAATATAATCCTTATATAGTACCACAACACAGGGGCCAGCAACCTACTATTTAGATAAACCCTACACCCTAGACATCTGGGCTTCTATCCTGAACCCAAACCAAGGAGCTTCTAGGTATAATGTCGGGAACCTGACTGAGAGAGAGGGTTTACAGGGTTTAGGATTTACAGGGCTTATGGGGTTTATGGGGTTTGTGGGGTATATAGGGCTTATATGGGGTTTAAGCCTCATTAAGAATCCCTGGGCCTACAACCCCAAAATAGTGAAGGCCCCAGGTTTCTTAATCAGGCTCCAACATTCATGTAAAGGCCTGAGCAATTACCAAAAATATCATTCCAAGGAAACCCTCATAGCACCTATAGTAAACCTTGCAGCTGCCTTAAAGGAGCCCATATAGGAACCCTCTCTAAGTACTTTCTCGGGGAGGCGCGCCTAGGACCAGGATAGCCTGCGCCAGGGAGAAGCCACGGATTTCGAATGGCGGCTCCTGTTTTGGAACTGCAGGATTTAGGGGTTCAGAGCTTAGGGTTTGGGGGCCTAGGGTTTCGGGGTTGAGGAGTTGAAGGGTTCAGGGCTTACAGGTTAGGGTTTAGGGCTTTGGGGTTTGGGGCTTCGGGGTTTAGGGCTGCGTCGTTAAGTCGCTCTTCTTCGGAACTTGGAGCTTTGAACCCTCTCCACTTCCCCCTTTCGGGAGTTTGCAGCTAGCGGCGCCCTGTGGCGTTGGGCGAGGACTAATTAGGTGATTGGAGCTCTTGACTCAAGGATTATGTTGCAGGGCTTATGCCGGCGCTCACTCGGGTTTCGGACTTCTCTTCGACTTGTAAGTTTCCGCTGTGATCCTGCGCAGATGCGGGAGCGAAGGGATCTGCCACAAACACACCCGATCGTTGCCAGGGTTTTTCAAGAGGGGTTCGTGTAAGGGTACAAGGGTTATGACAAGGGGTTAGCATAGAGGCCCGAATAATGCAAATCGGGTTTGGGGCGATGTTTTGCGATGTTTTGGTGATAATCGGAACTACAAGTGTTTACTATTGGTAGCTATTCCGAGGCCATATTAAACCCCATGAAACCCGAAACCAATGCTACTGCAACACGAATCAAAGCCGGAAGTCCGGTCGAAAGCCTAATGTCCAAACTGAGGTCATGAACCAAAATCCGGGAAGACACTGCACCCCAATTAAAAACTAGTGCCCTTTAAGACTACACGCAAGCTGTCTAGACACAAAGTACAGGAGGCATTTTGGCCCAAAATGTGCGCACTACATTAGTACTTAGACCTTTTGGGAAACCAACGAACAGCTCCAAACCCCAAAACCCAATGAGCCGCGCGGCATCATCGAAGTCTTCGGTGAGCTCTGGGTTGGTTGCCCTGCAAACAACGACATCTTAGACGAACCCTTCCAGGAGGATCCAAGTACTCTAATGGGAGGGTTCTGTACAAAGAAGAGGGAGAGAGCGGGAGGAGGAGGAGGAGAAGGAGAAAGGAGACGGAGAGGGATTGATCGAGCTCGGGGTATTTTTCGTACCACACGGGAATGAGGCATATTGGGGCTACATGATTTGTTTGGTTCTTGGGGGTGGGGAGGCCCGGGGCTCTTTGGGATGTATGAGCTTCAAGGGCTGCTGAGCCGTGTTGCAGGTCAGTGACCCCATCAGCCCTGAATCCAAACTCTAAACAAGGCAAGGACGAAAAAAGCCCGAACCCTATAGAAAGCCCCAACAGATGGAAACCGGATTAAGGACAAATATTGCTTGGATTCTCTCCCAAAGGCTCCTATGTACCGATATAGTGGAATGTAGGGTTTCCATATTTCGAAGCACTATTCTGACGTAGGGGAGTATCCCCTATGACAGTACATAGGACCCTCTGGGCCTATACATTATTACGCTTAAGGACTGAAGTTATTGGATTTTCAACTGCTGGGCTTGTACTATAAGTCCAGTACCCTTATTGTAAGCACTAGGCGTCTAGGTTCAAGGCTTAGTCTCGAAATCATGAACCCAACGCGCCGTACATCCTCAACTCCCAACTCTCTCTTTGCCCGTGTCTAGAAAAACCCACGAACGTTCAAGGCAAGCCCTTACATGTGAATCCAGCAACTTGAATCCTTAACCAGGTCCTAAAATCCCAAATCTTCTAATCCTAGCTCCTGCACCTACTTGTCGGGTATCATGGGGAGCTAAAGGTTAACCTTTTTGGTTATGTAGGGATTATATGGAAGCTATACTACACAAAAAAAGGCTAAAGGTTGCCTACTCGACTACTAGGTACAGTAATCTTAAACATGTAACGCCTCACGCGCCTTCGAGCCGACCGACTGCGCAAAGCACGAGACGAGGCGAGTGACAACCCGCCTGAGCCCAAAGGCTTAGGGGCTTTACCCAGAGGCCCCATAGTACTTCCTTAGGAGTGCCTTACAGGATTCGAATATATGATCCACAAAAAGGAACTACTATGGGACCTCTGGGTAGTTGCTTGGGATTTCGGTTTTAGGGGCTCCTGTAAGGGTTCCGAGAATTCTGTAAGGGTTTGGTTTAGGGTGTATGGCGGAGGGCTTGGAGTTGAAATTTCCGCATCGAGATATTAAGGTGTTAAGGGAGCTAAGCCCTAAACCCTGCACCCATCTTTTGGATTTCATGTTCAAAGCTTCCAGGCTTAGTACTTCATCTTTCCCTCTTTTTCAACTTCGGCCATGAGTTGAGAAACCTGTGTAAGTAGGTGTGAACAAGTATCACGTGTTTCATGCTTTTCGGACAGAAACTCCATGAGGTCGAAGGCCCTTGGCTTCTATCTAATCAAAATTAAACGTTAGAGGGAGAAAACCAGAGTAGGGTCAGTATGCTCTAGCCGCAAGGTACACCTACCTAGCGAGACCACGCAGTGATCGGCACCAAGTTGGATCCCAGTCCGAAGGATGTGATCGGCCTCCCACGCTGCACCGTCGTGTTGGCTGGTGCGGAGGGCACCGGTCTGGACCGCCCCGTACCCCAATTGGGCGTACTTTGTGTCGTTAAGGAGGTAGGTGGGAATTTGACAGGGCCCATGCCTGGGCTGTGCCCGCAGCTCTGTAAGACTCGCTGCAAATGGACGCTCGCAAACACCGGTAGCCATCCAAGACGTTCCAGTCCATCCCTGAAACATCCGATGTACGGATGGAGCCGTTTCCCTGTTGTCGCAACCATGTGATCTGAAATCCCAGAACAGAACTTATAATACACTTTGGAGGTTTGAGACCTGCCATGGACCTAAACCCTAACCCCCAAACCATAAACCCACTAAGCCCGAATCCTTAACCTTTAAACCGAAGCCCTAAACCCGAAACACCCCAAACCCTAAACCCTATAAACCCTAAACTCTAACCCCTAACCTTAAACCCCAAACCCCTTTATATACTATAGAACCATTATTTACAGATCCCTTTAAGGAACCCTTATAGATCCCTTTAAAGGAACCCTAAACCCAAACCACCGGTTCTGGGAACCAGGCCGACCAAACCCACAGCCAGCGGCGCTGCGGACATGGCGAAGCCCTGCCGGGAACTTGGAGGATCATGGGACTTAGTAAGTAAGGTTCCTTAAGGGATTCCTTTAAGGGACCTACAAGGGTGGCTGCAAGGATTCCATAAGGGTTTTGGTGGTACTTGGAGGATTATGGGACTTAGTAAGTAGGGTTATAAGTACCTTAATTGGGGTTGTAACCAGTTATAAGAATAGTTACTTGACTTATAACCCTAGCTACTAAGTCCCATGATCCTCTAAGAAGGGAATGCGTGGAATATGAGGGCTTGAAGCCCCCGAAACCCTAAACCCTTAACCCATAACCCTAAAACCCCTAAACCTTAAAAACGCGCACAAATTGAAGTTGGTGCCTCAACGGCAGCTACGCGGGGTTGCACAAGGGTTCTATGAAGTTTAGTTCTATGTGTTCTGGCCCTGAAATTAATCTGGGATTTGGTGTTTAGGCTTGGCGACGGAAGGGGTTTAGGGCTTGCAGTCGGGCCCTCTATAGAAGCCAACATTTCCAAGCCAAGACCCTGAGGGTCCTTAAACCCCCTAACCCCTGAACCCACAAAAAGTGGCGCGGAAGAGCCCAGAGGCCTCCGAGGAAGCGCCAGGGCCAGGGGCACCCGGTGCCGTCCGCGCTGTCGCATCCAGAGCCTGCGGTCTCCGGAAATCCGAGCTTTGGAGTAATAAGAATAGAGTCTCGGAATAAGATTTCGGAGTAGGATTTCGGCTTTAGGATTTCGGAATACCCCTAGATTTAAAGGCTTTTTTCTCATGCAATCCCGGGTTTTGTATACGGATTAGGCCTTGCGTCTTTGAACACGGAGGTGGTCAAAGGTCTTGGGTTTTGAGATCTATTAAACCCTAAACCCCCAACACCTAAACCCCTAACCCCTAAACCCTTATGTCCCCGGCAAAATTGAGCAAGCAGACCTGAACATGGCAAGTCCGGAAGAACCGCACCCAGAACTACACTGAACTTAGAATCCTAGCACAAATTATGATTTTAGCTGCTTCTTAGGGAGCATAATAACCAAAAATTCAACATTATTTCTAAGTACCCCTAAGAGAACTGTATTCGCCTGCGTCGCCGGCTGCGAGGCCAGGGTGAAGGTAAGTCCTGCAAAGCACGGTCAAAAGCCCCAAAGCCCCCAGCCATGACCCAAACCACAAGCCCTGAAACCCTAAACCCTGAGAGCCCTAAACCCCTAAACCCCAACCCTAAGCTGAACAATTCTAAGGATCAGCCATGTCGCGGAGCATTTCCGCGGGTCCCAGGCCAAGACCCTGGTCTAGAGTGTAGGGCAGCAAAATTGCGAAGTGTCCTAGACCTTATGCCCAAAGCTTTAGACTTGTCAAAAGCCTCTTGTACCATGACTCCCTACCTCTAGACGTATGAGCATGAACTACGGTGGATGATGCACAACCTGCATGTACCTTAATGACCCTAGACCATGGGAACTATGGCATATTCCAGGAGGGGGAGATATACATTCATATATATATATATATATATATATATATATATATGTAGGGTCCCGTACTCACGACCTTACGGACTAGACTTTCAGGATTCTCATAATGAAATAGACGGACCAGGAAACCTCAAAGTCCCGAAGCCTATAGATCTCTATATCACCAAATCGAACCCATGTATGATCCTTTCTATATACATGTATACTTCTGTATATATATACACATACATACATGTTACTGTATATATATATATATCATATTATATGTATATGCACACATTATATGTACAACCCAAACATCGAAACCATTCAACTTCAGAGAACCTGCTGCACCACAGGCCATAGCGCAAGCCGCAATGCCGGCGCCTTCGTTCGAGCCAGGTGCCGCTTTAATGCTTGGGGTTTAGGGTGTAGGGACATAGATTCAAAGCCTCGGTGCTTCCCTGTCCGATGGGGATTGAAAGCTTCGGGACTCGGGACTAGTAGCCCATTCTTCCGCAGTGTAGCAGGTGTTGGACACCTCGAATAGCTAGCATTGAAGGGCTTGTATAGGGTAGCCCATTAGTTTGAGTCACTATCCTGCGTTCTTCTTGTCCCCGTAGCAAGCGGCACGCTCAATATCGCAGCCATTCAACTCTGAGGTATCGTGCAGGGAACGGTTGTAGATCAATGTGCCGTAGTTGGTTCAAAGTACTGAAATTAGCTCATGAATCGTTCTAAACGCTGTGCAACTCAAATCAACACTCTTATCGGTTTCACCGTTTGACCCTCAATAGCTTGAAACTTTGGAGCGTGCACTAATGCAGCCCAGAGAAACTAAATCACTTGCAATGTGTAAAGAGAGCTGTTGAAACTGCTGGCACCAATGTGCTTCGGACTTGTGAACTTTCTCATGATACTCTGGGCATATGTAATGTTTGAGGCGGCACCGGAGACTGGACCGATCGCTACTTCGCTTCCTTTTCTGGATGAACTTAAACTCACATACCCTAAACCCTTAACCACACCCAGAAGACCCTAAAGGCGCAGTGTCCAGTTCATGTGTCCTGCCCATAAGATGAGACGTTGGCTAGTTTTAGACGGTGGAGGGTTCGGGGGATGTTCATTTCGGAGCATCTGTGCAACTGGTTACAAGTTGTGGTAGTTGTAAAACTAGACCCAAGAGTAACCTGGTAATAAAAAGGGTGCCCTTTTTGGTTCAAAGGGGGTTTATAAGGGAACCTGAACCCCAAAACAGGGAATAAGGGCTTACTCTGAGTCCTAGAAAAGCAGTCTTAACATGCCTGAGTCGTCATCTGTCTAGTCTACACATGGGCCAAACTGGTGCACACTCCTCTCTGTCTGACGACTCTTATCTAATCAACCAATCGGACAAACTGTCGAGCGCAGATGCGGAGCAAGAGCTGAGAACACCAAGACTATAAACCCTAAACCCTAAACCCCTCACAGAGTGGGGAACCTTCGATATGGCAACATGTATGTGGATCCCCTCTGTGCACATCTCTCGAGACAAGAGCCCCCGATCACACAAAACCCTAAGAACCATGGCATCGTGAGCCATCCCCCACAGAAAAGAACCCCCAGATACAGCAGATTGGACTACGTATATACTACCTGTAGTCTCCGTTGTAGTTCCTTTTTGGGGTTACCTTTTAGGCCTTAATATATAACTGGTTAAACCACAACAAGGAACTACAATGGAGACCATAGGAAAACCCTGAATCGCATGACGTTGATGCATCCAACCTTGTCGGCTTGCTTGCTGCGGACAATGGGAACGAGCCTGGGCGCCCCCGGGTTCTTCGAGATGTCAAAGTTCAGTGCATGTACTTAAAGGATCATGGGACTTAGCAACTAGGGTTCCTTTAACGGCTCCTTTTAGGGATCTATAAGGGTTACTATTACAGGTTCTATATGGGTTTTGAGCATACAGCTTGAGAATGCTGGGTTTGGTGGCTTAAGGTTTATAGGGTCTTTCGTGGAGTTCAGGGTTTAGGTGTTTTGTTTTAACTATTCATTTTGGTCTTCAGCCTGCGGAGCTGCCAATAAAGGATCAGCCGTGTGCCCTGATCCCTAAACCCTACCCGGACCCCAACAGCACAGCCCTTTGTAGATGTTGGACAATTCTTGTTTCCATTTTCGAGGGTTAGGTAACCCCCTCACCGCAAGCCCGAGACCTACGTGGTACATGTTTCAGCCTCGAAGGGATTCCTGCATACATACTTCACGGCCTTAGCATGTATATATATATATATATATACATATGTATTTTTATACATATGTATATATATATATATATATATATACATGTGTGTGTGTGTATATTTATGTATATTATATCTATCTATGTATACCCTAAAAGTCCAAAGGACCCAATAATCAGTTACTTGGGTTTAGGATAGTAGTTATGTAGGTTAGTGTTTGGGAGAGTGTATGATTATATTGTATATGAATATTAGGTACTTGGGCCCTCTAGGGATACTATACAAACCCTGAACTCTAAACCCTGAACTTTTGGGTACCCTAAATATTAAGTGCCGTACTCTAATAACGACCCAAAAAGGGACCATCATTTTGACAACCACCCATATAAAGCCCTTAATAGTAACCCTGATAGATCCCTTAAAGGAAGCCGAAAAAGGAACCCTACTAGGTCCCTCGATTCCTTTCAGTAGCCCGGCATTTACCCTAAACTCTAAACCCTGCACCCATATAGGAGCGTGGAGCTCCAGGGCTAAGCCCTACCGCCCTTAAACAGACCTCGGCACGACAAAAACGCGGAACGCAAGACCCCTGAAAGAAGGGCATGTGTATGTTACATACAGCTTCTTTGTTTGAAGGGCCCTTTTCAAAAAATCCCTGATGGTCTCCCAAAGCAGGTTCAAAGCCTTCCTTGAAGACGAGCACGTCAATGCGGCATTTTCTATGCAGGTTTACAGTTTCGGGTTTTATGGTTACATGCACTTATACAGATACATCCGTGGTATCTGAACTTCTACAAACTTGGTACCGGGTAAATGCTGAGTTCTCGATCTTCAAACGTTGAAACCCGAAACTTACAGCCAAAAACACTTGCGCAACTCACTTGCAACCCTCGCAAAACTCCAAAACCCTAGACATTCTGTAGAACCCTTATAAGCCCTGTTAGATCCCTCTAAAATCTGTACAACAATCCTTGTTTCAGCTTCCCATAGAACGCTTATACAAACCACAGGACACAACATCTTCTGCAATTCGGAAGACAACCTATATGGAACCCGTAACCCAACAAAAACACAAGCTTCCCATAGGCCCTTGCACAAAAAGCTATAAACATGACGGTAATGTCACATCAATCCCGAAGCCGCTGAACCCTAAACCCTAAACCCCCCTAAACCCCTCAACCCCTAAACCCCTAACCTCGCAAGGTTCGAAGCTGAAACCTACGAGAACTTCCAAGCGCACGGCCGCCATGCGCTTTGGGGTCTCTCGTCGGGTCGCCACCCAGGTTTTCAAACCCCCCAAAACCCCCTTGAGGCTGTATGCCTGCGTGCAGGAGCTGTAGTAGTAGTAGTAGTAGTAGTAGTAGTAGTAGCAGTAGTAGTAGTAGTAGTAGTAGTAGTAGTAGTAGTAGTAGTAGTCGCAGTAGTAGTAGCACCTAGACCCGAAAAGTATGTAGAATAATGGCTTTTTATAGGTATTGGGCCATTATTTTACCTACTTTTGGGTGTTCAGGTAGTCGTCGTCGTAAACCCCAACCCGAACCCCCAAAAACCCTAAAACTGAACTCCGCACTTGAAACACTGAGTTGTCTTCTTTTTCAGGACGTAGGGACGATACAAGGTCTTCAAGAGCTGCAAAGCTTTGGGTTTTAGAGCTTTTAGGGTTGAAGGTGTTTAGGTTTGGGGTGTTTTAGGGTTTAGGGATTCTATCGTGGCACTAATTACACTGTAAGCCTTTCAGCTCGGACCTGACTAGACCCGGCAATCTTGAAGCTGAAAACCTTGACCTCAAACACTGGGAGGCTAGATCAACCCCACCTAGAATAACCAGGTACCCCAGAATAGACAATGTACCAACTCCTTTGTCTTTAGGGTCATGTCTCCTTGTTGAAGGTACATTGGTTACTCTCGGTAAATCCTGGGCCTAAGGGCCAGGTTCCTTTGCATGTGGGTTTCGGGCTTAGTATGTTGGACATAAGCTTCGGGCTTATGGCTTAGGATCCAAATAGTTTCAAGGTCACCTATCAGACTTTCGTTGACCTAATGCAAAAAACCAGCATGGACGCCGTATAACAGACCCAAAAAGACCCTGAGGGTCATGCTTTTCCGACCAAAGACCTTGGGGGAATACGTTTTCAAGCCGTAGAAGCGCCCCGTAAAGACCCTGGAGGAGTACAAGCAATGCTTTTCGTTACAAAGACCTCTAAACTCTTTGTTAAGCCTAAACCCCCAAAACCCTAAACCCCTGAACCACAAAGGCCCCTTTTGGGGGGTCATCTCCTTCTTCCTGATCGTTCCCACTAAACCCTAAACCCGAAATCCCTAAACCCTACACCATCCTAAACCCCGAAACCCCTGAACCCCTGAACCCTAAACCCATGCTTTCTTTTGGATCGTTCACGCTCGGAGGAGGGCTTTCCAAGGCGGCGGAAGCCTTAATTTCGGCTCTCAGCGCCTTCTGAGGGACCCAGGGGCTCCTCCTAAGGTCCTACTATCGGTTAAGGGTTTAGGGGTTGCGGGTTTGGGGGTTTAGGGTTTAGGGGTTTAGGGTTTAGGGGTTTAGGGCTTATTGGGGTGTAGGATTTAAGGGTTTAGGGTTTATCGATATGAATCCCATATTCTTTTGGTGTTATAGGGCCAGGGCTTTTTGAAATCAGGCCCCGCATTGAGGTCCTAGGCTCCTGAAAGAGTTTGCTCAAGTGTTCTGATTCGTGCGAGGGCTGATTCAGAGTTCTGACTACCGGGGCTCTTCATGGGTTCTAAAGCGGTTTGGGTTAGGGTATGTTTGGGTTCAAGGTTTAGGTAAATTACCATAATGGTGTTACCACAAGGGTCAGAACTAAGGGTACCATACCTTGTAGAGGTAATCGAAGAAGTCGTCAACAAGATGATCATGGAAGTGGTGGTGGCAGCAGCAGCAGAAGCAGAACCAGAAGCAGAAGCAGAAGCAGAAGCCGTAGCGGTAGCGGTAGCGGTAGCAGTAGCAGTAGCAGTAGAAGTAGCAGTAGCAGCAGTGGAAGTGGCAGTGGCAGTGGCAGTGGCAGTGGCAGTGGCAGTGGCAGTGGCAGTAGCAGTAGTAGCAGTAGTAGCAGTCGTAGTGGCAGTGACCGTGGCAGTGGCAGTGGCAGTAGCCGTCGCCGTTGTCGTCCTCGTCGGGGTGTCGTGGAGGTAAGAATATAGAGCCACTAGGGACTGGATACGAAAACGGGTACTATAAGCTGCACTTTTAAGGCTCGGGTTGACTTGCCCCTACTCGAGGGGCCCAGTAGGCACTCTTTGAGGGTTTTGGGGTTTCGGGCACTTTAGTTTTGTTCCTGTAAACACAAGCTCGAAGAGAATAGTCACACACCCATGCACCCCTCAACTGCCCCAAATGCCTGAGATGCAATTCTAAATTCGCTTGGTGGAGCCTCTGAGTTCGCATTAAAAATTGGCGCTGGCTGGAGTGCCAAGGTGCAAGGCCTGCACCTATAGGGTTTTACATATCGAGGGAAAGGGGGTTATTGCTTGGGGTTTGCCGTTTTCCTGAAAGCGCTTCTGCCCGGACATTAAAAGAAGGCAGAGCCATCAACGGCCGCCAAGACGATGCTCACCTGAACCTCGGGAAGCAGGCTGTTCAAGGTTTAGGATTTAGGATTCAGTTCAGGATTGTAGGAATAAGGGCTTAGCATTTAGGATTTAGCTTATGACTTTATGAATGTAGAATTAAGGATTTAAGATGATTTACGGTTTAGGATTGTGGGTTTAGAATTTTGGGATTTAGGCTTTGGGGTTACAGCTGTGGTCCAGCTATGGTGCTCCGCGAGCAGGATAGGCTGCAAGAAAGCCTCCTAACGCTCTACTATGAGGCTCACACATGGAAATGCTTAGGGGGTTAGACTACCCCCCCCAGACAAAAGCTTTGGATGTCGCCCGGGATCGGATCTATGGTTATCGTGATGGTGCTTGCCGGTTCATCTAGGTTTGGGGTATTCGGGTTTGGGGCCTAAGGTCTAGGGTTAGCGTTTAGACGGATATGAACAGACTTGATACGAATCAACTTCCAGGGCATGTATCAACCGAAGCAGCATCGAAAACTGCACAGGCCTAAAGCAAGTCCATGTGGCTAACATCTGCCTGTGTGGCTTGAAAACTGAAGAACCGGATCTACATGTACCGGCATAATCTTGAACGGGCTTCCCTAAACCCTAAGCCCCAAACCCTAAACCGCTCTGGAAAGGAGTAGCTTCGGTGGGACCAAAGTCCCAATATGGAAGCAAAAAAAGCTAGTTAGCAACGGTTTAGGGTATGACTATACTATACCATAATGGAGCGCCCTCCAAAGGCCAGAAACAACTTGTTCCAACTACTGAAGGGATCGTAAGCCGTCCTCGTACCGGACGATTGGAGACCGACACTCTCAAACCCCCAGCTTGCCTAGCCTTAAAGCTTCTCAGACCCCTTGCCCTAGTCCTTTTAGCTGAGGTTTTGAATCTTAGAAGCCTAGAACCCCAGGCCCTAAAGCCTAAGCCCCTTGAATGATAGAAGCCGCTCATTCACTCGGAAGCGGTTGGATCGGAACTCTTCGAAATGAAATCGGGTTCACTGACGCGCTCTTTGAAGCCCTTAGGGGTTTGGGGCACAGGGAAATTCTCGTGGGGGGCCGCGGCGTTGAGCATGCAGTCTCTTCTCGGTGCTGAAGGTGTCCCGGGTGCATCCTACACCCTAAACCCCAAACCATAAACTTCTAGACCCTGAGCCCTAAACCTTCCTCGGCTAAGGCTAAGGGTTTAGGGTGGCGGGTTTGGGGTGTTTAGGGTCAGTTGCCACGAAGAATTCCGAGGTCAGGGCATTCCCTGCAGGGACTTGCCCACGTCGGCAAAAGCCCCGATCACCTGGAAGCCAACTTATCATTGACAGCACCTTAAGCCCTAAACCTTTAACCCTAAATCCCAAAGGAATGGTACGCCTCCAACCATTTAACATCGTTATAAGGTAATACAGGACTACGTCGATTGGGGCTAGGGCCCTTGCTGATCAGAAAGCTGCTCGGGAGGGAATCAACTTGATATCCGTTCCAAGCTCCACGGCGGAGCTGAATTTATTCCCTGGGTTGATAAATGGTGTGCACCACCTCAACTTGACGAAAAGTTGATTCTACTACTTCTGACCTGGGGCATATACGACGCTCAGGTCTTAAGCCTCCACCCTCCTATCTGGAACAACTTCTCCCACAGCGATCGTTGATGCCCATCACTACATATGTATAACGGTGTCAGAAACTAGAAGAGGATACTTTTACGACTCCTAGTTGCTGAATTCAAAAGCCGCAAAAAGTGCACACTTTCAGTTTAATAGTGGGTAGTACTATCCCCAAAAAGTGTCAAGTGTATCCACTCAGCTACGAAGTACTTATTCAGCGCCTAAAGGGAACTCCAGCAAGTTGGAATATGGATTGATGGTAGGATCCCCTATAACTTACCTCAAAGGGATTACGATAATGATATTCTAAGTCAAGGGGCAGCTGCGCCCGTTTTGATCTCATTGATCTTTGCCTCAACATTCCTCAGCACTGACTAGAAGTACCCTAGGGTTCCTTTGAAGGGTTCCTTAAGGGATCTATAAGGTTTTATAAAGGGTTTGGGGTTTAGAGAGATATGGGTAGTTGTCAAAATTATAATCCCTCTTTGGGTACACTAAATATTGGGTGTGGTATTATAATAGGGACCCAAAAAGGGACGATAATGTTGACAACCACCCACATGACACACCCGACGCTCCTTTCTGATAGGATTTGGGGTTTGATTAGCTACGCTTCGGGGGTTCTTGTCTTGTCCCTAGGCCCCCGGCTCCCTAAGCCCCAGGCTCCCTAAACCCCAAGCATTGAACCTTAGCTTTGAACCCTAAACCAGAACTCGAAAAGCTTTCTATTCGGGACTTCTAGGTTCCTGTTTTCCCCACGGATCCTAGGAACCTCTGTAATGCGTGCCAACCAGAGTAGTTTCAAGCAAAAGCCACCTGGGTGGTTGTCAAAATTATGGTACCTTTCTGGGTACTAAATATTAAAGGTGCCGTATTATAACAAGGACCCAAAAAGGCACCCTAATTTTGACAACTACCCACCCGAGTCATTATTCAGTCTTCTATGTTACTTTGGTTTGTGGAAATAGAGGCGCCTTGAATGTTTGAACAGGGTTTCAGGGCCCATTACACTATAAGTATGATCATTTATAATCAGGAACCCCAAAACAGTAGATGTAACTATTTTGGCTCTTCTCTTGTGGTATTTGCACCGTCGACCTCTGGGGATGTGCTGAACTTGAAGCCTTCTAGTAACGTTCGTAGTTGCCTTTAAAATCCAAGTAAAGGAACCCTACTTAGAGGTTCATGGGACTTAGTAACTAGGGTTATGATAAGTCAGGTAACTATACTTAAGAACTACTTATGACCCACTTAAGGTACTTATACCCGTACAGTTGCGCTTAGTTTCTAGCCCCGTTTAGGCAGATGCTGCAGGACTCTTACCTACTACCACTGTGGAATTAAAAGTCCCACACGGCCGTCCTGGCGATGGTTTTTGGGGACCTTATTCCATGACAGTACGTAGTATATATGGGCCTCTGGGGTAGAGAATCACAAAAGCGCGTTTATTGTTTACACTGACACTATGGCTGAACGTGAACGTTTTTGCTTTCCACATAGCCAATCTCATCACTCGGGTCTTCAACCGGAGGTTGAGACGGGCGAGGCAAAGGCGAACGAGACCGAGTCGAAGACCAGCTGCGTGAACGCCTCGGATTGCCAGCGCGCTTCCATCGCCCTTTGCGGCGGCCGCTAGGGCGGTGACTCCACATAGCCACCATCAACCGGAGGTTGAGACGGTTGATTTTCGAGATCTGCGGCGACGGCGAGGCACAGGCTTTTTGAGACCGAGTCGAAGCTGAAGGCAAAGACCAGATGCGAATGCGTGAACGCCTCGGATTGGACTTATATACTGCTCGAGCTCGCAGCAGACAAGCTTTTCACGTAGCAGCCCTTAATACACGGTTTAGGGTTTAGGGTTCAGGGGCTAGCCTTAAGACTGACATAAGACTGATACCGATAGTCCCTCTTGAAGAAACCCCCCATTAAAGGTTTCGTACACAACAGTAATTACCTGGATTCCAGCTAAATCCTAACCCCTCTTTTAAAGAACCCTTCAATTTCGAACTTTCAACTCCACAAACTCAAAAAATCATTGCTATACTGTTCTTCTATACTTACAAGTCTGATGGTTACAACTATGAATTATCCCCCGCCCAACCTTGAACATTATCTTTCTTCTACAGTTACGTTCCCTAATGCTTTCTTGATCATTTTCCTAGTTGCTGAGTTCATAAGCCCCCAAAAGTGTACACTTTCAGTTTTATAGTGGGCAATATTACCCCAAAAAGTGTAAAGTGTATCCACTCAGCTACTAATTTTTCAACAAATGATACTCTAAACCCTAAACTTTCCGGACCCCGGCCTACGAAACCCTATGAGGAGAAGCCTCTGGGTGCGGAGCTGCGGTTGCGTCACCAGGGAGCCAGGATGCTTCAGGACCTGCAAGCATAAGTAGGAGCCTTCATACATCGAAAAGGGTTTTGAGATGTACGTTGCAAATTACACGAGGGCTACCAGGGGATATCTAAGGCTTTCGGGGTGTGAGACTCAGGGATCTGGGATTAAGGCTACGCCGCCATGACAATCCCGAGCCCGGATGTTTCATCGTTCTAGTTAGTCATACGCTTGAAGGGGAAACCAAAACAAAGTCTTCAGACTATGTGTTATCCACCGTCTTTTTGTTTCTCTCTCTCTCTCTCTCTCTCTCTCTCTCTCTCTCTCTCAGTATCTCTGAGTTTCTCTCTCGCTCGCTCTCTCTCTGTTCATCTGTTTATCTGATTCTCTATCCATCCATCTATGTAACGATGTAAGCATCCTGTAGACAGGTGCATGTAGTACGCTCTCTCTCTCTCTCTCTCGTTCTCTCTTTTGTGTGTATATATATTATATATATATATATATATATGTATATGTGTGGTTGTCAAAAGTATGGTCCCTTTTGGGTACCCTAAATATTAGGTGCCGTATTATAGTAAGGACCCAAAAAAGGACCCTAATATTGACAACCACCCATATGTGCGTACAAAGACTAAAGGCTGGCTGCCTGTGTTGGGGTTCTAGCATCCTGGGTTCAGGTCTAAGGTCAGGGGTTTAGGGTTTGTAGGGTTCCAGAGTTTAGGGTTTTAAGGTTTACGGTGTAGCGTTTTAGTTGCTGCATGCCGTTCTGACAGCAACTAGCTGGACAGCTGTTCAAGACATCTGAACATTTTCAATCGAGTAGGAGTGCAGTGGGGTAGTAGTATATAGCAGTAGCAGCGAGACGGCCCTTAGCGACAACCTTCATAATCAAAACAAGTCCAGATGTACACAGAGTCAGGTTGAGGCTCTCATATGTCATGTTATAAATACCGGAATAACTGAGCTGGGGCTCTTCGATTCATGCCAACAGTAGTCAAGAGCACTTCTGACGCTGGCCGACTATGGGATGCAACCCGGAAATCGGAAACCCTGCACCCTAAACCACATCTCCCGAACGTAATTTGGGCTCGTCTATCTTCTTGCAGGAAAAGTCTGGTTTCCCGACGCAGGCCCGAGGTTGCGGCTTTGAGGCTTCAGGTTACGACGGTGGCTATCCTACCTGCACCCTGCCTGTACCCATAACATGAAGGTAGATGGGTCTAGGCCTTGGCAATGCTAGGCAACCTTTTTGATAATGATAGTACATTTTGGTGTTTAAGGCTAATGTTCGATGGAACGGTGTTTAAGGCCAATTTTCGATGGAACGAACAAACAAACAAAAAGGTCTTGTACGTGAAATGTCTCAGCTATGATAGGACATTAAGAGCCCAAAAAGGCAAACTGTCACCTGAGCAGCTGACTATTTGCTTTCGCGGCCTATTTTGTCGTCGAGGCAACACTACGGGTAGCATAGGGTCAGATTAAGATACGGAACAAGGAGCAGAGAAGGCAAAAATTCTGAGATACGATGGGACCGGAATTAAAAGCCCAAAGATGCAAACTGTCAGCTATGTTAGTCCGAGCAGGGCTGTTGCACTGGTTCTCAAAATAACCTGGTTTGCATATTCGGATACGTTTGCGAAAGAGCCTGCTACCTCATGCGTCTCAGGTCGGCGCAATGCTCTCGAGTGCATCCTCGCGTCCAGTCACCTGCATCAGGATGGATCATTGTGCTCAGCAAAGATGCTGACAGGTTGAAGAGCGGCTGAGATTTTCTGTTGATTACAACCCTAAATTCCGAAAAGGGGGTACCTTACTTGGGGGTCCTTATCATAAGGATCCTACTACTTAGGGTACTATATTCGGGTCCCCCTATTTTCGGAAACTCCCACTTGCTTGTTTGGGCACCAAGTCTACCATAACATACCCTCGTTATACTGGGCACCCTGCCCTCGACTCTGGACCGTTGCTGTAGCAGGAGTTAAGATAACAGTCACTACAGTATCGGGTACTCTACTCTAACTATAGGTTCCTGAGTAACCCCTCTATAATAAGGGTAGCCTTGTTCCTACTATATGTACTCTGTTTCAATAAGGAAGCCCCCAACATACAAAGGGCAACAGGGTACTGCTCAGGAACCGCTGAACTATAAACCCTAAATCCTTAACCCTGAAACCCCAAACCCTAAAACCCTGAACCCTAAAACTAACCCTAAACCCTAGACTTTAATTCTAAAAACCCTAAATCCAAAACCCTCAAACCCTAAACCCTATTCTGCTGCGAGCGGAAGCCCCGAGCCTCAACCATGGCTTTCCAGGTCCGTCGCACAAAGTCCGGATCCACAAACATGGGTGTCGAGTCCTCGGGTGCTTCGGGGTTCTTGTCCCAAACGGTCCAAGTAAGAGTATGGTATATACTTTGGGGGCCTAAGTAATGCTACTCGGACCCTTTGGAAGCGTTTCAAGTTCTTTTGTGTTTAGGATTGAGGATTCGTGAGCGTTGGGTTAAAGGGCTGAGGGTCTTGGGGCTTAGTAGGGGGTTTTCAAGTCTTTTTCCTTGCCTTCCCAACATCCATAGTGATCGCCTGCAGCCAGCAAATTGTGTGTGTTGTTGTGGCAATTTGGGAAGTTAAGGTTGCGGAGTCTAGAAGTTTATGTAGGGTTTGTAGGGCCTAGGCTTTGGGGCTTTGGGAAGTTGGGGTTGGGGGCCTATAGAGCATAGGGTTTCGGTCGTGAGCTTCAGAGCATAGGGTTTAGGGCTAAGGGCTTAGAAGCTAACCTGGCAGCAGGCTGCCTCAGCATGGCGTGTGTGATGACGTTCCCAGCTGGTCCTGTAGCTCCAAACCCTACAAAAGAATAGGTTGCGACCGCTTACTTATAGGGTATAACTCCTAAATCAATGTTTTTTTTGGATCCCGCGATGCTCCAACCCCCTGTGCCAAGCCAGAATGAACCCGCGTCATGAACTTGCATCTCTGCACCCGAACCCTTAACCTGTAACCTCAAGCCCTAATCGCGAAACCGTGGATCCTAAACCCTGAACCCCAATTCCCCAACCCTACAGTACTGCGGCCGTAGACGATAACCCCACAACCCCCAAATCCTCCATCTAAAACTCTTCTACTCCCCACCCTGAGCTCCGCCCACGATCTGACCATCAACATGGAAGCCCAAATGATTGCGGCTTCGGCTTCGGACTGAATTCGTGTTTAGGCTTTCTATGTCACACAGGTATAAGGCATTAGGGAACCGAAACTTACTGCCCTGTTCTGCAGCGTTGATTTCAGTTCAATTTATTATGTGAGCGACACGCGAATCCTCAAAACCCAAACGTCGCAGCCTTAAAGCACAAGCCCGTGCCCTAAACCCTAAACCCCTAAACCCTAAACCCTGAAGGCGAGCCTGACGGCTATTGGGTTTTAGGGCTACAGGTAAGCCCTAACACAAAACCCTAAACTAAGTCTTAAAACCTAATGTCCTAAAACCTACAAAACCCTATAAACCCTAACCAAAACATGGCCCTGTACCCTAAAACCCAAAGAATAACCCTTGTTCAGCCAAGGCTCTCGACCCAAAATCTCCAGAGCAGTCGAAGACTCGACCTTGCAGGACGCAAGAGAAGGCATGGCAGGTTCCAAAACCAGCACAGGAAAGGCTTAGGGTGTAGGGTTCCTCAAAGGGATCCTTCATGGGTTCCTTAAAGGGATCCTTAAAGGGCTCCTTAAAGGGATCTGTGAGAGGTTTAGGGGCTTGGGGTTTAGGGTTCATCTGGGATTCAGATGTCGGGTTCATATTAGGGCTTCGATGGGTTTAAGTTATCGGGTTCATATGAGTTTAGGGCTGAGGGTTTCGAGTTCCTTTCTTACGATTTGTTCACGAGGTTTCGTATGCTGAATCAGATTTATAGGATCTGCTACAATGTATCATGGGGTTCATGTTCATTTCTGCAGGTTCTGGCTTGTAAGAGGATTTAGAAGGGTTTCATTGGGCTGCACAGAAGTTTGCAAGGTTTCACATGATTCCATGGGGGTTGGTCCATCAGGATTGGCTATGTGGCTTTGTCGGGGGCTTAGCTCGCAATTACAAAACCCTCTGGTCAGGCATTCAGTCTGTGGGGAACACCGGGATAAGATGCACAGGGATTTGAACTTTCGGGTTTTAGGCGTGTGTAGCATTAAGGCTCAGGGTCTGTATCTGTATAGGAAGCTTATAATACACGTATTACTTATCCTGTCGCCTTTGGGCTTTTGACGCCGCTGTTGCTGTATACTTGAAGCCTGTAGCGGTGGCAGTATCAATGCGATTCGTTTAGCTTTGACTGTGCGGTTGCACAGGTTTTCAGAAACCTAAACTCAAAAACCTTACTCTGAAACACATTCCCGGTCCTTGCTTGAATTCTAGGAAAACCCGAACGCCGAAATTCTGAACTTCAAGTGGAAATGCAACCCTCCACCCCCAAAGTCCTGAAGCTCTCAAACTTGCCAGCTCGTGGGCTCAAGAACCCCTCCTGTGGCTAATAGGGCTTTGGGTTTAGGGCAAATGGAGACTCTCCAAGATTAAAAGGAGGATAGCCATTATATACCCATGAAATAGCCCGTTATAGGGTAGGGGTCCCCATTAAGGGTCCCTCGTTTTCCCCTGTGAGACTCGCAACAGGGCGCCATTCCGAAGCCTAGACCCTCCATGCCTGTGCCCTTCAAGCAACCTTGAAAGGGTTCGTTCAGGGGTTTGGGAGAAAAAAACTTTAAGGGGGACCCTATTACCCAAAGGGTCTTAGGTCCTAGGTATTGTTCTGAGAGATACTTCCCCAAATCATAATAGTGTTTCCAGTATAGAAACCGAATAGAAACCCTACACTCTACTATATTGGTACTTTGGACCCTTTGGGTTACGAAGCCCGACAAGGAAGCCCTGTTACGGGAGTCATAACCCTAAACCCCTAAACCGTAAACCCCTATACCCTAAACTCCTAAACCTTAAACCCCTAAACCCCTAACCGGCCCTAACCCCTAAACCCTAAACCCCTAACCCCTAATCCCTAAACCCTAAACCCCTAAACCCTCTGCTACGGGAGCGACTTTCCGGAGGCCCCGGGCCTCCATCGCTTCCTTCATCCGTCGGAATCGGAACTTGATGTCCGCTTCGCGGCAGGGGGTGGTCATGTAAACCTCGTTTTCGGGGAAGAGTTTCCGAAAATGAGGGGTACCTTTAGAGGGATCCTTTAAAGAGTTACTATAAGGGTACTATAAGGGTTCCTTTAAAGGGAGGGTTTGGGGTTGAGGTGGAAGGTTTCAGGTTTTAGGGTTTAAGGCCTAGGGTTTGGGAGTATTCTTGCTTGGTTAACCTCTCTTTGGGGTTTTGGGGATAGGCGTATGCGTTTGGGGTCTGGGGGTTAAGAAGTTTGGGCTTGGGGTTTAGAATTGCGGGCTTGGGGCTTGAGGTTTAGGGTTTGGGATAATTAATAATTACTACAAAGGCCTCATACGAGGTGTTTGCGGGTCAATTACGGGTTTAGGGTGAGAAATTCGTCCAAGCGATCCAGGAATTGGAAGAAGACCGATCGCCGTTGCGGATGTATGCAGTGCACGACCTTCATGTCCCCTTCTTCAAAATCAAAAGGCGTGCCGCAGATGCCTGCATCACTGCGGTACTTGGGAAGCTGAACACGACGTTCCACAATAACACTGTACATGACTCGCCGCCGTTAACGGCCCCGAAACTTCGTTTCGCTGCAGCGATTGCTTAGCGGCCTGTGCCTCATCTTCATCATCTTCAAGTACCATCCTGCAGTGCGCATACTTACAAAAATGGAGGCAAGGCATAGGTTCGCTTTACGTACCACATGTGCGCCCGCAAGGGCGAGTATATATCGGCCAATGCTGGCACTGTTCAGGATCTCTCTTTCTGGCTGCTCCTGGACAAGTCGTCTGGCATGACCATCTCCATGGTCGCAGATCATTGTCATCATCCAAGGTGTTTTGCCTTCTCCACAGGTACTGCTGCCACATTGGAAGGCAGCTCAAGCTCCATCGGATAGACAGAAGGCTCTGCTCAATGACTGGCCCTCTGCAAAACTCCTACGGCTGCCTGGTTGGAAGGCAGCTTGGGATCAATCAGATCATCGCCATCGTCATTGTCACCGGAATGCTCTTCGCCATGCCCTGTTCTTCGATGCTCATGACGGGAGTGTTCGATTCTCTTACCAGTGCCGGCAGCTGGCCTACACTTCGTCGGGCTTTAGGGTGCTATTAGGGTTTAGGAGCTTAGGGTTTAGGGTTTTAGGGTTTAGGGCTTAGGGTTTAAGGATTCGGCAGCTGCCCCAGACGCGTGGCCGCGGCTGCTGGCTTTGTCACTGCTAGCTTGCGCCAACGCTTAGGGTAGCGGTTTAGGAGCCTGAGTGAATGGACAACTGTTTTGTGGCTTTGCCAAAACATGCCAGCGAAACCTAACCAATCGCATAGTTTTCCACTATTCGATTCCGCATCTTAACCGATCAGGATTTAGGCTAGAGACCAGTGCCGACAAAATGAAGCTAACTTGTAAGTTACTCACAGCTTGCCATGTCACGGGAGTCTACGATACTCAGAACCCCGACAAGGGAGCCAGACCAAAATGGAATGCCGGTCACCCACTCAAACCTGACAATCTAGGAACAGCTCGAAATACATGTACGTACAGGAGCAATGGTACAAGGACTAATCGGATACTTCTATTTTGGGGCTTCAGGGCTTTAGTTTCGGGTTCTAGGGTCAGGGGCCCAGGGGGTTTGGTAAGGGGGGCTTAGGGGTTCTGCTTACACAACGTCAACCCCTAAACCCCACATCTGAGCGGATTGCCTCCTTTGCTGCAGCTTTGGGGAACTGCTCCTGGAAATCTCGCGCTTAGGCACCAGGGTAGTCAGGGCCCTGGAGCGGTGTCTCTAAACATCTAGGGTTTAGGGTACTGCTGCTTTCAAGGTCAAGGGAATGTCTTCACGTACATATCCTTTAAGGGAGCCCTAAACCTTGCGCCCTAAACCCTACATCGTTCCTTTAAGGGAGTCCTAAACCCAGCACCCTAAACCGTTCCTTTCCTTTAAGGGAATCCGGAATCCCACAGCTCCTAACCAGTGATTGGGTCCTAAACGTTTACACTAGGGGCTTGAACTTTGTCAGTGTGTATTCATTCCCTAAGGGTTCCCTACCACCATTAAACTACAATCGTCTACCCGGAACACGAGTCCAATAACATCCAGTCATTCAGGCCCCGGTATCATACTATACTTAAAGGTTGAGGATAAGTCCACAATAAAGGAATACAGCCCCGATGCTCTTCAGAGTCATGCCATCCGAAAAACCTGCTATTCACTTCTAGATGGGCCTTGAGAGTTTGCGGCGCCTAGCTAAACTGCAAACCTTGGTAATTAATCTAATTGCCGAACACCTGGAACCTGCCATTATTCCACACAGTTCTTGTGGTCATGGGGTTTAGGAATGGTTTAGATCGAGGTTGCAAACCTCTGTAGAAATAGCTACATTAACCCGAATGCGCGCCCAATGCAACGGATGACGCAAGTTCGGTTCGGATCACCACGCAAAGTTTCAAGCCCTGCCCTTGCCTCCAGAAAGCAAGCAACGCAAAAGCCTAAACTCTACAAGGCCTGAAGCAGCCTACCTTGGTAATTGGAGTAGGGTTCTGGGCTCCTTTATAGTATAGTTACTTGTGAAAGGGAACCCTGAGGAAATGTTGGCAATGATTAAGGCTTCTAAAGAAAGTGCATGCAACAGCTTAGCGGCTTAGTGCTTAGAAGATCACAGCTCCCCCAACCGCTGAAAACACGACACCACAAAGACGCAAAGAAACATCCAACACAAAACTCACCCCCGTAAACCCTAAACTAAACCTCCCCTAGACCCTAAACCCTAAGCAAAACCTCCCCGAAACCTACACACTAAGCCCCAACAAAACAAACAAAACTCCTTCCCCCAAGCCCGGATCCTCCCAACAAAAACAAATCTACCCAAGAAAACATAAATAGCTTGGACTAAGCCTGAACCTTAAACCTCAAACCCTAAAACTAAGCCTAAACCCTGAACCCTAAACGCCCTACCCCCCTCCCCTTTCAAAAAAAAAAAAAAGCAGCCCGGGGCGCGCCTGGAAGAGCCGCCAGGCCTCCGCTGCCTCCGCGGCATCGCCGAGCTCGGCTTCCTCTGGGCTTTGGGCGTTTTGGGCGGTTTTGGGGATCTATAAGGGGCCCCTTAAAGGAATCGATGAGGTGTCCTTTGAGGGCTCGATAGGCTTTGGGCTTTCGGCGTTTTTTTTGTTGTTTGTGGGGTTTTGGGGTTTTTTAAGGGATCTATACAGGGGGGATTCTTTAAAGGGACCCATAAGGGTTCTATAAGGGATGTGTAGGGTTTAGGGTTTTGCGGGCTTTATGCGGGTTTAGGGTTTTAGGTGGAGGTTTAGGATTTAGGAGTTTCGGTTTTGTTGGTTTTGGGCTTGGGGTTTAGGGCTTATACGGTTTTTAGCTTGGGCTTTGGGGTTTAGGGTAAGGTTTACGGCTAAGTAGTGCTTAGGGTTTGGGTTTCGGATTAGATGAGAGTATGCCTATACCCCGAAAACTAGTACTGGCTTAAATGGCTTTCCGGGGCAAACTTCCAATTAAATTGCAGGAAATATGAGCTGTAGGGTTCAGGTTACTAGTTGCTCTCTGTTTGCGAGGTTCAGGTCCCGTCGGTTTCATGATTCTGCATTGGTTTCTCTGTTTCTGGCAACTTGCGGCAGTGGGTTTGTAAGGATCTTGCCCTGGGGTGTTTGAAGCCCCTAAACCCTAAACCCTAAACCCCTAAACCCTAAACCCTAAACCCCTAAACCCTAAACCGTGCGATTTGCAGTGTAAAGTTCACGACCCAGGGCTGAGGATTTGAGACTTTTGGGGGCCTCGGAATTAGCGCAGAGGTCTTCGGCGTACTGTGTCGATGGCTCCCCTCAAGACGCTTGAACGAATTTGTTCGAAGGTTTCTTGGGATCAACAGTTGCGAGGTGTAGGGTTTCCAAAAAGCTTCTACGCTTTTCCGATAGGTAGGGTGCGACCTTTTGTTTTGCCAAGCACTGCTACAATCTGACTTTTGGTTCTACCTGATGAGTTTGATCGGATTTTTGTAGATTCTCATGTAGCGCTACCACTACACCACCATCATGTACTTGTTGCAGGGTTTCGTTGCGATCCGAGGGAACATGGGTTATGTATGGCAGCTCCCTAAACCCTGAACCCTAAAAGCTCCCAAGCACTTGTCTTGTGGATACTCGCTCCTGCGACCCATAGTTCTCGTAGAAGCGCTATCGTGTATTGCGCGGGCACTTTGAGCCTAAAACCCGAAGCCCTGAGAAATAAGTCCTGCTGTAAGTAACCTTGTGACAAAAACCGAGTTGAGGCCTTGGGTGGCTCAGGCTTGTAGGTGCAGGGGGTTTATAGGCCTCTTCGGCTTTAGGTCAGCACTTAGGTTTGCGAGAAGCGTTTACGGCTTAGGGCTTGGGCTTGGAGCCGGCGCTTAAATTCTAGGGTTTGGGGGTTTGGGTTTAGGCTTTAGATTGGAGGGTCCTTGGCCATCTCAGCATCCGCCAGCTTCATTTGCTCCTGCAGTCGGCTGCGTGTGGAAGCCAAATCACGGGGTGAAGACCTTGAACCGCAAGGCTCCATGTACCCATACATATATATATATATATAAGATATACATTCCAAAAGTAGGGGGTACCTTATTTTGGGTCCTCACAATAAGGATCCTACTATTTAGGGTACTGCATTAGGGACCCCATTTTCCGAAACCCCCGTATATACATGTATTAAACTGAGGCCTGAAAGCCCTATGGAAAGGAACCCCCTTGAGGCCTAAGTAATCACCACACACAGACATGGAGCCTCAGGAAATGCCAAAAAGTTTACGGCTTTACTACATGGGTCATGCCCTCGCTCTGCTTTAGGGGCACACAGCACATGGCTGGTAGCTCCTGTATACCTAAGGTCATAAAGAAAACAGCACCCCGTGGATTTTCGGTTTAGGGTAGAGGTCGGGCTTCCGGGATTGAACTTCAGGTTTGGTTTTAGCTCCGCAAACCCTAAGCCCTGAAGCCTAAAATCCGTAAAAGGTCTCTCATAAAGCTCTTCAAGTACCTTCATCGGCAGCCTGAAGTGAACAAACACACCTGGCTCTAGACACCAGGGTGCCGTTGTGAGCAGTGAGAGCAACCAAGCGAGGATCGACAACTTGCTTGTCTCCAATCACGTACTGCAGCTCATCAATGCCTTCGGGGTCGAGCAGTGCGTCCAGGTGCGTCTGCCAGTTGCCGTGCAACGGGATGCTGTGGGAGATGCACTCGCCGGAAAGGTCGACCACGTCGAAGGAGATCTCGTCAGGTCCCATCAGCATGAGCTCGGCCAGGCGACTGCAGTGAGTCGGTTCGGACGTCATCGGGGAAGTCGAAGGCTTGCTGCCGAGCGCCAATAGCGAAGTGCTGCCGGGTAGGGAGATGGTTCCCGCCCCTCCGTCAAGGCACTCGACCATGCACCTAAAGGCCCAAAGCCTCAAAACCCAAAAAATCAACCAAACAGGTAGGATCTCCACTTTCAAAGGAAGCATTAAACTTAGCTATTTCGGCCCTCGGCGCAAGTGCAAGGAACCCTTTGTTGGGTAGGCAGCTCCCTAACGCAAACCCCGGAGACCCTCGGCTCTAGAGCCCTAAACCCTAACGCCCTAAACCCTAAAACCAAAGCCCTGAGCCCTAAGCCCTAAAGCCTAACCCCAAACCCTAAGCCCTAAACCCCCTAAACCCTCCAAACCCCAAGTCTTAAACCCTATGTAAACCTTCTAAGCTCTGCAATCTGGCTTCCCCAAACTACGTCCGGCCTTCTCGATGACGTCCCTTGCAAGGCGTCTGATTTCTCGAGCCCCCACTTAGAGGATCATGGGACTTAATAACTAGGATTACAAGTATGGTAACTATACCTACAACCCCAATTAAGGTACTTATAACCTTACTTACTAACTCCCATATATCCCTTATAGATCCCTTTAAGGAACCCTTTAAGGATCCCTCTAAGGAGCCCTTTTAAGGAACCTTACTTACTCAGTCCCATGATCCTCCAAGCAAGGCTCTGAGGACTCATATCTCAAGGCTTTTTGGGCCCAACGACCGTTGCTGATATCATAAGCCCCCAAAAGTGTACACTTTCAGTGTCATAGTGGGTAATAGTACACCACAAAGTGTAGAGTGTACCCACTCAGCTACTAGAGGCCTTTGGGACGTTTTGAGCCTTAGATTAGTGATTCAAAATCCTTTATTGCTTTCGGGGTTTTGAGCTTTTGGGCTTTTCAGGGTTTCGGGTTTAGGATTTTGGCCTTTAGGGGCTGGGGGAGTCTAGGGGGCCCATGGGTTCCTTGGGGGGGGTTTAGACACAAAGTCAGGCTATGCTCCGCGAGCTTCCTTCCAGAGTGTTCCCCAGTCAGCTTTACTTTCAGCATCATGTGGGCTTGCACTATTATGAGCACGAACGATCCAATTTACGAATAATGGCCCAGGGCAGACACCCACGATGGAACTAACAGAGGTCAGGATTACCTACGCAAGCCCACACCCCAAACCCCACACCCTAAACCCCAAATCAGTAGACCTCAAGCCCTGAAATAATGACTTACAAAAACCACTCGAAAACCACAACCATGCCTCTGTGCAAAAGCAAGCAACTCAATCTCCAGAGGAGTAGCTAATGCACCCTTGAGAAAGGGATATATACATATATGACCTTGAAAGAACCGTACATATTCACCTTGTTTCAGGTACCGTGGTCGCTTTGCGCAGACCAGAAACCCTCAGCCAACACAGAACCCTAAAACCTAAACCCTAGACCCCAAAAAGCAGATTCCTGAAGCCTAGATTCAAGATTCACGGAACCCTGAAGCCTATCTTCTCACTTGCAAACAAGTGTCTGAATGGACCTCAGAAAGGACAGATCTCCGCTTCACTCACGGGCATCCATTGGGTTGCAGGGTGTAAAAGCATTAGGTTTCCAGTTTTAGTTTTAGCGTGTTTAGGGTTCAGGGTTTCGGGTTTCTTCAAGTTTCGGATTCCATTTTTTAGGTTTCGGAGTAAGGTGTAGAGTTCAGAATCACAGTAGAAGGTTATGTGGGGATGATAATGACCCACACCGTGACAGTACTTAAGACCACTAGGGTTAAGGCCCAAGGTTGTAAAGATGTCACATGGGGCCCTGATTTATTATGACCAGTAGCACATTTGTAATTTTTCTCGCCCCCAGTGGTAAACAACCCTAAACCCTCAAACCCTAAACAAAATAACCTACCCTTTGTTCAAAGACTTTATTAAGAACAGGAAAACCCTACAGTCCATGCGTCGTTCGGCTCGGGGTCTTCAGGGACAGCGCTTAGCACTTACCTGGAGGATCATGGGACCTAGTAAGTAAGGTTACTTAAAGGGTTCCGTAGAGGGACCTACAAGGGTTACTATAAGGATTCTATAAGGGTTTTGGGGGTACTTTGAGGATCATGGGACCTAGTAAGTGTGGTTATACGTACCTTATTTGGGGTTAGAAGTAATTAGAAGTATAGCTCCCTTATTTATAACCCTAGCTACTAAGCCCCATGATCCTTTCAGCCGGCCTCAGGGTTTAGGGTTTAGCGTTTTTTTGTACTTAGGCCTCAAGGTAAAGGGTCTAATATAGGGGACGTGGCTACTGGAACAAGGGTTTGGGGTATACTAGACTTTTGTTGGGCGAGTGGGGGCTATGAAGGAACCTCATGAACAATGCTCCCAATAATCATAAGGGCAACAATAACGCGAACAGTAGCATATAAGAACCATAGTAGGGATCTAAGGGAATTAGATTTGTAAGTCTAGTGAGGCTTGGGACAAACTTGCCAGCAGTATCGGGAACAAAGAGAACAAAGGAAGCAACACCCAAAGTCAAAGATAAGGATGAGCCCCTACAATTCCAATCCTCAAGGGTTAACGGCCGCAAGAAGAAAGCGCAACATAACCTTTATGCAACGGTATGGACAACTCAGAGAGCCCCAATAAACCCCAGGCTCTACGGTTGATGATATAAAACCTGCATGACCCATAATAAGGAATATACCATAGTTCCCATAGTCTAGAGTCATTAAGGTAATGCAGGATTTGTATCATCAACCCTAAACCCCCTATAGATCCCTTAAAGGAACCCCTTAAAGGTACCCTTATAGATCCCTTTAAAGGGAACCCTAGGATTCGTATCATCAACCCAAGAACAAGACTAAAATGCTTCTGCTGGTGAAATGCGAGACCTTAAGACTACAGATCCTACACCCCTTGTAAGCCTTTCAAGCAACCCTTAGGGCTGAGGGTTTAGGATTTAAGGTTTGGGGCTTAGGGTTTAGGATTTAGGGTGTGGGGTTTAGGATTTAGGGTTTAGGGTTTGGGGTTTAGGATTTAGGGTGTGGGGTTTAGGATTTAGGGTTTAGGGTTTGGGGTCTAGGATTTAGGGTTTAGGGCTTGGGGTTTAGGATTTAGGGTTTAGGGTTTGGGGTTTAGGATTTAGGGTTTAGGGTTTGGGGTTTAGGGTTTAGGATTTGGGGTTTAGGATTTAGGCTTTAAGGTTTAGCCTCTGAGATGCTTAAAACCCCCTGTAAACCCTAAAGGAGCCCTTGAAGGAATGCGAAGCGCCGAAGATGTAACCACCTCTGTAACCTTTCGAGGCACCCGGTAACCCTAAACCCTAAGAGCCCAAAACTTCCTGAAAACCCCTGAAGGAACCCTTTCAGGAACCCTAAACCCCCAACCCCAAACCCTTCAATGAAACCCCTAAACCAGAACACCACGAACCCATGAAACCCCTGAGAATAGATGGCCGGGGAACTGGAGAAGCTGTGGGTCAATGCCCAATCGCCACTGTACTACCTCGCTGTCATCCTGCTGGGGGTTGTAAGGGACCGGGGCTTTGGGTTTGGGGCTTTGGGTACGGTTTAGGGTTTAGGGTGTAGGGGTTTCCAGGGGCTTTGGGTTTTGGGATGTTGCTGGGGTTAGATCAGAGTTTAGGGGCTTCGAGGTTTTGTGACAGACACAATGAGCTCCTAGGAGGGGCTTTTAAAGCCTTCGAAAAATATTGGTAGGTAAGATCCTCTGAAGCCCAATAAGAGCAAATATAAAATGTCCCAAAGCCCTACCTAGTCTTCTACAAGCAGTTCTTGAAACCCCCATAGCACAAGTTCCGAAGCTCGACCGCTGCAGTACCACGAATACGAAGCCACCAATCCACAAACATGCTTATGACTACTTCCACTTGGGGTCCCTAATGTAATTGATCTCTACAGACCACGAGTTCGAAACCCATCAATCATAGTTAAGGCTGCGGATACTTCGTCGTTCGAGTCCAAACTGGGTGCCTGATTTAAAACGGAAACAGCAGCCCCCCTCCCGCCCGAAACACCAACTCAAGATCACCGAAAAATTGAATGCCGCTACGACTTTGGTCTTTGGGCAGAAACACAAAAAGGCTCAGCCACAAGTACGACAGCAAGGAGCTGCACAATCGATGTAAGGTTTCGGAGATATTATGGTATCATCCGAGATAGGGTATGTACTGCTCGGGGTCGATTTTCCGCGCGTCCTTCAGCATCTGCAGCTTCTTGTAGAGCCTGGGGCCATTGGAGGCTGGATGTGTCGCCGTGTGTAGGGAGCTTGGGCCGTTGAAGTGTAATGTAGGAACCTGATTCAGAAACCCTGAGCCTATAACCCCAAAATAGTAGGACTCATGTAAGGAACCCTAACAAAGGCCCAAGGTTTCTTATTCAGGGGTTCCTACATTAGGATCTCTCTTCAAATCTTGTCGGATCCCTAGGCCCTAAACCCTAAAGCGATTCCTACTTAAAGGATCAGGGGACTTAGTAAGGTTATAAGTACCTTAATTGGGGTTATAAGAAGTCATAAGTATAGTTACCTTACTTATAACTCGAGTTACTAAGTAGCAGGATCCTCTAAGTACAACCTGAACAGCTTCTGTGTAACCCGTAGGAGAACGCTGCCTGCCTACGTCTTGCGCGCCTTAGAACAAAAATGACAAGCAATACTTTGAATACTGCCCTGGAGTAAAGTTAACATCCACAAGAAAATGCTAAGGCTGCTAAGGTCGCTAAAGATACATGTATATCTACACCCATGCCCTACTCAAAGTGCTGACTCCTATGGTCAAAAAATACATACTCTGACCTTATAATCAATCATTGTATAGGTACTTTAGGGCCAAGGTACATATTGATTGAACATTATTTGGGCACCTGGGCCTTTAGGGGAATCTGGAAGCCGAATGCCTGCACCCCGAGGCACAAACCCGAACTAATTATGTTCAATGAGCTTAAACAGGATTCTGGGTATTTGGGTATTTGGCATGTCCATAACGCCATCCTTCCCCAGCGATAGAACCTAAACCCTCAAACCTTAAACCCATAAGACTATAAACCCCCGAACCCCAACACCCTAGTCCTCTACACTCCAAAGACCCCTGAACCTCATCAACCCCAAAGGGGCCCTGAACCGTATGCCCCAAGGGGCCCTAAACCCGAAGGGGCTCTAAACCCCATAAAGTTGGAAACCGGATTAGGGCCAAATAGTGCTGGGATTCCCTCTACATGACTCTTAAGGATTGAGGCGATTGGGTTTCCAACTTTGGGGCTTCTACTGTAAACCCCAATGACACTCCTAAATCCTAACCCCTAATCCCCTAAACCCCTAAATCCTAAACCCCTATAATCCCTTAAACCCTACACCCCTAAACCCTAAACCCACCTCAAAAGGACCCTAAACCGCAGTGTCAGGGCTGGCCTCTCTGGCGAGTCTCCGTTCTCCGGCTTGCTGGTCTCGATCGGGCGGTCCTGACCTTGTTAGCTTAGGGTTCAAGGCTTAGGGATTAGGGTTTCGGGCTTTGGATTTAGGGCTTAAGGTTTAGGGATCTAGTCATGATCGGTTTAGGCTAGGGTGTCTTCATGAGGAGTATAGGATTTGGGTCAGACGGTCAGAGGTTGTACGATTACTTTCGAGTTTGGAGACTGTAGAAAGGTTCGGCTATTGAATATTTGGCCCTTCCTTTCCTTTCCGCCGCATGCATGGTACCCACAACCAAGTGGCCTGCTACAAGCATAACCCTAATGGTCTGAGTACTCCTTAGTATAAGACTTTGGGCCTTGTTAGGTACCAAAACCCATAAAGGAGTAATTACTACTTCGACCCTTAACATAAGGGAACGTGGGCTCTGCTTCAACCCCTTAACTCTAAACCCTAAACCCTAAACTCTAAACCCTAAACTCTGAACCCTAAACTCTAAACACTAAACCCTAAACTCTGAACCCTAAACTCTATAAACCACTAAACTCTAAACACTAAACTCTAAACCTCAAACCCTGCGAATGGGCTTACGGGGCAAAGCCGTATCATCTGGCCCCCCGGAGGCTCCAGGGATCAACCCCCGCACTCAACGCGGAAGCCGAATGCGGTGGAGTTTGGGGAGGCCTTAATAATTAGAATAGGGTTCCTTTAAAGGGGTTTACAAGGGTTCCTTAAAAAGGGGGTCTATGAATAAGGGTTACTGTAGGGGTTACTATCAGGGTACTATGATATAAAGGGGCCTGAAGACTCAGAGTAGGGTTTTGGGGCCCATTGTACTAAACTCATTGTAAGGAACCCCCCTAAAAGTCTTCTAGGTAATTATTAAGGCCCCTAAATGAGGAGTGGGGCTTACGGATGCCTACCAATGCCCAAGGAGAAGGTGAAAAGGCAACCCTGAAAGAACCCATCTAAACCTTCTTTGGCTTAAGCAAAAGGAATATACAAAAGAATAAGGTGAAAAAGTCCGCAGGAGAAGGTGGAAAGGTAGCCCCAAAGCAACCCGATCGAATCTTATCTAGCATAATAGTTTCAAACCCGCACCAGTCCGTGCGCGACACCAACGCGCTCGCATGTCTCCTGAATGAACCTGGCTGCCAGGTAGGCAGCGTTCTGCCGAGCCAGCCGGAAGCGCATGTACGCGGCGTTCTGCTTGGGCGCATTCGGCCCCAGCTTGTGAATCCTTTTCCTCAATCCGCTCATCTTCCGCTCGAAAGTCTTCATCGTTGCGGATATCTGAGAGGCTGTCAGTGGCTCTGACAGCATCACTTCCTCCTTGGTGCTCACGCCTTGTCCCTCAATGGCCCGCTTTTCGTGGCACGTTTTGCCAAGAGAGCGGATATGGTCCAGGTGCTTAGGTTTAGGATTTCGGCTAGGGATTGTGGTGACCTTCCGGTGTGGTGCGACATACCATCCTGAAATTTATGAGCCTGGTTCATTACCGACAGTTATTGCGATAAGGATGCGGTACAAAAAGGGCAGTCTGATCTTGGGGTTTAGGGTTTAGGGGTTCAGGGGTTTAAGGTTTGGGGGTTTAGGGTCTAGGGGTTTAGGGTTTCAAAGCACAGTTACTAAACGCTATACGCTTGCTAGCGCGCTCTGAGCCCCACAAAGCCCTGCTGGGTTCCATGCTTTGCCTTGCGATGAGGACGCTGTTCAGCATTTTCTGAGACAGGAGTTTCCGAAGATTGGGGGTACCTTACTCTGGGGTCCTTATAATATGAGGATCCTACTATGTAGGGTACTATATTAGGGTACTTCCACACAGCAGTGCCGCGATGGAGAACAGAGGCACACACACACACACAAACACACACACACACACAAACACACTTCAGTAGGTCGCGAAAATATCCTATGGGGGATGCCTCCTTCCGAAAGTGCCTTTGATGCCAGCATCGATCTTCATTGTACACAAAAGGAGCAAGTAAGTATGTGCAGAGTTCGCTGCATGCGGCTTTACAGCTCTGGCACCTTGGGTGTACGCGTGATGCTTCGAATTACCCGTCCCAAAGGCTCCATGTGCCCATATAGCAGGTACTGAGGCTTGAAAGGGGTCCCTATGTAGGTACTTTAAGGCCCAAGTAGCTACTATATCGGTACATGGAGCCTTATGGCGTATTAAGAGAGGGTCTCCGGCCCGTCATGTGTATACCAACGTACCCACCCCCCCAAACCCTAACAGAAGGGTCGATCCACCCTAAATCCCTAAACCCAAAGCCCCCAAACCCAAAGCCGCACACCAGCAACACGAAACCAAAGCCCACCGCCTAGACCCCCACTCCCCACAAATCTGGAACCGACTTCCCTCCGAAGTTAGACGCGACATGTACAAGACCCCTATAATCAGTATGAAGCGTACTCGGAGGTTGCTAAACCTGAACCAGAACCACTAAACCCCCAAAACTCTAAGCCCCTGAACCCTCAGCCCCAAAACCCTTAAACCCAATAAACCCAATAAGCCCTTTAAGCCTGAAAAAAAAGAAACCCCTAAACTCTAAACCCCTAAACTGTATTTGGAGGGGGCGAGTGATGGATGCCTGTGACCCCAAACCCCACAAAATAGTAGTCATAACCCCTTAATTAGAGGGTAGATCTTTGAAGCTGCCCCCACCGTGTAATAGTGGTATAATAGGAATATGATAGGGCCCTAATATAGTCCTTATAGTCACTATTACAGGGTGGGGGCAGCTTCTAAGGTAGAACCCTTAAAACTATAATGGAGACTATAGGTACATAATATAGCTATTATATACCCATTATATGCCCCCATCTTTTCCCCTAAACCCCCAAAACCACCCAAAACCCACAAAAAACACTAAACCCTATACCCTTATAGAATCCCTATAGATCCCTTTAAAGGGTCCCCAATTAAGGGTCCCATCTTTTCCCCTTAAAGCGGTAGGTATCCCTAAGCATCCGAAGACCTCAAATGTGACCATGTTTGCTAAGACCTCAGAATCCAAGGCCTTTAGTGTAAGTGCTGGAAATACAAGGACTTGGACAATCATGTAAGTTGAATGAAATGCATGTCAATATATATGATGTATAAAATGTATTCAATCCAGGAAATGCATGTCATTCCCTGTATTTCTCAATATTCATATGTTGATATACAGGTCAAACAATCAGTATATATGGTCCAAAAAATGTGTTAATAGGTTTGTTTGTTCTTTCCGAAATGCTTTAAAAAATATTCATATCCGATGCAGATTCGCTGAAAAGATCAGAAAGATCAGTAAATAAGTATGTAAAATGAATCAGTCGTAGAATACGTTTGCAAGTTCTTTCCCAAATGCTTTGAAGATTATTCATATCCGATGCAGATTCGCTGAAAGGATCAGAAAAATCAATCAATAAGTATGTAAAAAAAATCAGTCCTAGAATAAGTTTCAAGGTTATTTCCCAAATGCTTTGGAAATTATTCATATCCGAAGCAATATATATATATATATATATAAACGTCCAGCATTCTTTCGAACTTCTTTTCCTGGCTTTGCAAACCCGAGGTAGGCCTTAGGCCGTGGGCACGGGTTTTATTCCCGGTGGGTGCCCCACAAATTCTGGTGAAGAAGACTTTGGCCAGCTCAAACCTCCACCTCAGGGAGAGTACAGTGTTCAGGTTCAGGGCTCAGGGTTTAGGACTGAAGGGTTCAGGCCATATATATATATATATATATATATATTTATTTAGAGAGAGAGAGAGAGAGCTGTAGGGTTGCCGGGCCTGGGTCTGGTTCACGAGTGGCATGTCTTGGATGAGCCGATCCAGTTGAGACATGCTGGGCTCCTCCATTCTCTTGATGTCGTCATCTTGGATAAGGCTCCGAGGGAAATATATGTATATATCTATATATACATAAATTAATTCAGCTAAAGGCGAAAGCTCCTGCTATGTATATATATAGATAGGCTTCACAAGAACCATTATTATTATAATTATAATCAGTTCATATGGCATATGTATTTACATATTTATATATCTGTCTGTTTCTTATATATTTATTATATATATATATATATAATATGCAGCCTAGCGACAGAGGTATGGGACCAAATTCCCGAAGCACAACAGCAGCTCGTCGAGGGCCATGACGATGTCGCATAGCTTGTGCTCCAGTGCATAACCCATAGCGGATTCGATGAAGCGGTCGCATGTCCTCAGATGCCGAGAAACAAAAATCTTGTCATCTTAAGCTCCACCCGCAAGAAATACAAAACGGAGAATATGTCAGAAAGTTGAATAGTTATTGATAAAGGTTTGATTTCACGTGACAAGGTCACAAACAACATATATATATATATATATATTTATGTATAATATTATGTATAATTAATAATAATAATACTATATATATATGTATAAATATAAATATATATATTTATTTATTTATATTTATTTATTTATATATTCTATATATATATATATATATATTGATATTAATGTATATAAAAAGAATCATATATTATACTCATATATCTATATATATTATATGAGTGCTTGGCCAGATTCTCTGGGTTCGACATGCCCGTGAGGGCTACCACCGTTGGGCAAGTCACTCTCGTCAGGAAGCGATTCACCCACTTGCCGTGAGGCGTATAGTTGCCCATGGCAAGCCAATGCAACCGGTCCTTCTCTGCAATTGGCAGTCCGTGTACCAACACTGTCATCCTGTCCCAGCCATGCCGTTCCAGGTCGTTGACCGCCTTTGCAGCTCTCGATCCCCAGCCGAGCAGCTCCATCTTCACCATCCATGTTGGCCCTGCCATGCCGAGAGGTAAGAGTGGGAAAAACCTCAAGGCACCAAAATTTAATTAACTGCTTGAGCATCATATATTTGCATGTAAGCAGGCATGTGACACTTCAGTCCTGCTGCAGCCCCCCGTGAGTGAACTGACTGCATCCGAGGGGTTTGGGGTTTAGGCTTTAGGATTCACGGGCAGGGGTTTAAGGTTTAGGGTTCAGGGCTTCAGGGTTTCGGGTTCAGGGGTTTGGGGTTTTGGGTTTAGGGTTTACATCTATATATATATATATATACATAGATACATATATGTATATACATATACATATATATATATATATATATTTCAGGAAGTCTCGGATGCAGGAGAACTGTTTTCACGAGCTCGCTATCTGCTCCGGAGCTCTCGTTCATGCACGTGCAAGCATGGCCCACCAGTGCCGTCAGTGACCTTGCATCAAAGCCTGCAGTCGCAGCAACTGCTTGGAGAGGATCTGATTCTCGACCGTGCTTCGATGCGAGGATTTGGCAATATCCACAGCCACTCCAAGAGCCCCCTCTTCAGCATACGTATGGAAAAACCTGAAGTTATAACCTCAGCTGCATATTAGCTGGACTGAAAATACATATAACAAACTCATATATATATATATGGTAGTCGCTGGATATATATATATATATATATATATGTATATGTATCTACCAGCTACAAGATATGTTATCACTTATAAACAGTCGCACCATGAAAGGAATTGTCCTTGAGTAATATATATATATATATATATCATCCTCGTAGCGGGTCTCGGCAAGCTCCATGACCATGTGCTGCAGCATGTGGTGCTTCGGTCTCAGGCTCCACATAAACCTTGGGCAGGGTAGAAGTACTGAAATTTTTAAATAGATGGATACCGCCAGCTTCAAAAATGTGGGGAGAGAGACAGAGAGAAAGAGAGAGAGAAATATATAAAAAGACACAGACCCAAAACTCTTTTCACATAGAATTAGACAGAATATTAATCAGCTGATACAGGTGCGGGTTGGTGGAGGTGGCTGCACAGTGCATATAGGTCTCCAGGAATCGAAGGCCCAGGCTGCGGATTTCCACGGCTTCCTCGGCATCGATGGGGATTCATATATTATGTGTCATGCACTTAATATATATATATATATATATTTGTTAAGATGCAGCTTTATTGTATATTAACACATATATATATGTATACATATGTTATACATTACATACTATTTAGCATATGTACTTTATTATATATTATTACTATTTCAGAATTATTATTACCATTATTATCATATAATTATTATATCATTATCACTATCATATATATATGCATATATCTATAAAGGTATAGTTTAAATAATATATAGATATATGTATATATATATATATATATATATATATGTAATATATCTTTTATAATATATACAACGAGTATACATATATATATATATATATATATCATATTCCAAAGTTTGACAGAGAAGCCTCCTCCGTCAAGAACCTGTTGCCTTGCTCCACACGGTTGTACAGCTCCGACAGGAGATGCACACAGAGACTCGCTCTCAGGAGCTCCAGATCAGCTGGTGCTTTCTTGCTTTCCTCTGAGAGGATAGCAGCCAGAAACGACGTGATGATTCTGCTGTGGTGGGCCTTGGACTGGTAAAATATCTGCTCCAGGTCGGATTTCAAGAGAAAGTGTCTGAATCGCGGCATAGCAACCCTGACCTTCACTTGCTTTTGCCAGCCTTTGAACCTAAGGAATAATGCCCGGAGAGCCTGATCTTTGGTCAGGCCGGCACCACACACTTCCCGGTCCAGCAAGACTTTCATTGCCGAACCATTAGCAAAAAGACCAACTCCAAGATGGGCCGTGTGCATCCAGCACTGCTTAAGAATGTGCATGCTAAAACCTGGCATCCAGATAAGCGGCGAACTTTCCGGGGAGTCCAGCACCGGAAGCACATTGGCCAGAAAGTCCACATTGCTCCGCCTGGTTCGCATCCAGGCAGCGGAAAGGCCAAATTGGCCGTAACTCATCGGGCCACTTGCCAGGGTGCACTTGCACTTGTAGCACACTTCCTTGCTCGTCGGTGTTGCTTTCAGACCCAGGCAATCAACGAAAAACTTCCAGTCGCCTCGGAGTTCTGTCACCATAGGACTGCCTGGCATGCGAACAAGTTTCTGCAGGCTCTCCACCACGAACCTCCACAGCGGCTGCTCGGTGGATCGGCCAGCACTGAACCGATCTTGCAAGAAAAACAGAGGGAACCTCGAGTAGGCAAGACCATTGTGCTCGGACATCACGAATCCCATGAAAGCTCCAAGAAGATGATCTCCGTATTTAGTAAACTGGGCAGAGTCCCCATACAAAAACAACGGCTCGCTCTCCACAGCTTTTCCAGGATGTGGTGTGTCCAATTTGGCCCAGTATCGCTTGGTGGAATCTGCTTTGGGGGCTAGCCCTTGCTCGTGGAGCCACGGAACGAGTTCGTGCGGGGCGACACAGGGAATTTGCCTCATTGCACCAAATAATAAATATCAACTTATATTGTGTGTTAGGCATACACCTAGGCAATCTATATATATATAATATATATCACACACATCTATCTATATATATATATATATATTTATGTAGTTGTCTAGCTATATATACTTATATATATATATAGATAATATAAGACCCAAGATAAAGGATTCCGTGTGACCCTGCACTCAAGGTGCAGCATCGTAGGCTTGCCCTGGTCGTCGAGGCCCGGTGCTTCCACCCAGTGCACAGGCACCTCGTCGTTGATTTTCTTGTTTAAATAAAACATATGTGTAATTAATGTGTAGAAACGGATAGCAGAATGTTTGCCATCATAGCTGTATTAATTGTATGTGTATCTACTTATATGTGTAGTCATTATATATATATATATATGTATGTATATATATGTGTGTATATATGTATATATATATATATTGGATGCAAGCCAGGTGTCGGGCGACTTGAACTGTCGAAAGGCATCCCTGTGGATGTTCCCCGCATGCTTGCCCTGAGCTCCAGTAGCAGCCAGTTTAAGCACATCGGGCGGTGTAGCTTTGTCGAAGACCTTGCTGATGCAAGCAGGTTTCCCTGGCTTCTACCGGAGCCCTCCCGCCCTCCCCGACCCCGCTTAACCCTGAAACCCGATGCTGTGGGAGCAACTGCAACAGCCGAGCCGATTAGAGCGAGCTGCCTGCTGGATGGCTCCGCATATGTCCCTCGCTGCAGCCATGGAGATATCCTCAGTTTAAATAGAAATAACCTAAACCCTAAAACCTCAAACCCTAAACCCATATATGTTATTATACACATACTTATGTATTCTAGTCCCCCTGCAAGCGAAGGCACACCACCACCCACCTTCTCCAGCAAAATGGCCGAGATAGGGTCGCCTGCGAAGGGGGAATCCGGAACACTAAACATACTGTCGGATTGAAAGATGGATTCTCACAGATGCAGACACTGCAATCTGGCACTGAAGGATACCCACTTTTTCCCCTCATGGCTGCCGCTGCAGCGAGTCGATCTTCCGTCGGCCAAAACTAGCGATCAGACACCAAAGGCCCCGGCAGTGCTTTGCGACAAATCTGAGTGTGCTACATAAGTACAATAACCGATGTAACAACATGAAGTTCATTATAATGGACACACACACATGTATATATATATATATATATATATGCTACATATATTAGCTACACATGCACACACACACACACAGACACAGACACAGACACAGACACACATATATATATATATATATATATACATATGCATGTTTATAAAGTCTAGTGCCCCGGTGTGCTTTAACTTTATATCCGCAATGCTGCTGGGGATGTGACCGATCAACATCGCCGCCTAGATCTAGCCTGCCGGCCCTCACTTTTTCTGCTTGGCCGTCCTGGTATGGATCGTCACGTGCTTGCAGGCATCCATGTACTCCTTGATGCTCTGCTCGAGGGCCATCCTGTGCTGTGTGCACATGTCCCAGCTTCGAGAGCTGTACACATTCTCGAGGCTGTACCGCTTCTTTTCCATATCCAGGCGGAACGGCTACAGGTCAGTGAGCAAGCTGTCCAGGGTGTTCTTGGGCCTTTGCACGAAGATACATATGCAAAGACTGACAATAAAATGTACATTTATATATATATATATATATATAATGTAGATATCATTATTACGTGTATATAGATATATATACACATATATATATATACACAATATATATATATATATATATATGTACGTTGTGAAGCTATGACCAGCAGGGCAGGCTGCATACTTAAACCATATCTGTTCTACATATATATATATATATAATCTAGAAGAAAAAGCCCGAGGCACGTGCCGGCATCCTCGAGCTGCTTCCGCCAGCTTTTCGCTTCGAGCACTTTGTTTGCAACTTTGTTGAGGATGGCTTGGCAGAGCTGTTGCTCGCTTTTGGGCTTTGGCACGGGTGTGGTGGTTTCCTCGCCACCCTGACATGAGTAAATCACCAAAATTGGGTTTAGGGTTGAATGGGGTCTAAAGCTATACGTGTGTATATATATATATATGCATTTATATATATATATATATGTGTATAGGGATGAGGTCTTAAGGTTTAGGCTTTGTCTGAGATTCTGACCCGCCTTGCCGGTCTTCTTATTCTTGTTTCCTTTGCCTCTGCCCTTTCCTCCTTTCTTGTTGCCAAGTACGTCCTCGGGCAGCTCTCGCCTCTCCTTGATGCTCACCTCCTCCTTTTCCAAGTCCACCAGCATCTTCCTTATTATACATGACTAGTTGAAGTTAAATTCAAACCAGGTAAAATATAGCCAAGCCGGGTTTTTGATTTATGTCCATCGTTCATGCGGAGACAGGATGAGCAGGCGGATGATTCAACTCAGCTTTCTTTATAAACTGGCAAGCAAGCTGCAACAGCCTCTTCGTGGCCTCGCAATCGAGGTTCCCCTGCATGTTGAACTCGTACTTGGACTCGGTCGAA